TTTCTGATCGCAACCTCAATGCTAATTTCTTTTTCTTTCTTTTTTTTTTCAAGCAAACGGCTAAGCTCGGTCTTGCCGTCTCCCTTGAGCTTGCTGGCGAGGATGTCATGGAGCAGCAGGACAAGATTGATCCCGCCAGCATGATTCCTCCTCCCTTCTAAAGCTCTCCTCTTGCCACGCTCGAGATAATAACCCTTTCGCCCCCCCATGTTTTAGTAGTTCTTCACTCTCCATGTCTGGAATGACATATGTTGTCTCTCTTCCTCGGTATATCCTTTTGAATTTGGGTTGCCGGTGCAGGTGGCCAGTCGTTTGGCGCCATGGAGATTCCAACTTATTTTTTTGTATAGATTCACACTCCGGTTCTTTGGTTTTCTTTCCCATTACCACCTGATGCTGCATCTCTGTTTGGCTTGTGGTATGATATCTTGTGTCTCCTTGCTATCTTTCCAGTTCATTTCCTTGCATGGCCATGTTTTGGGTCTATGGGATTGCCAGGTCTGGGATGCATGGCTGCGCCTGCAGATAGCTCTGGTTATGTTTTTCGCATCATAGACGGGCCAATGTAAAACATGTTTTGATTAGGTTGATCCAGGTGTAATGATTTCACTGTAATCTGTCGTTCTAACTATTTTCTATCAAAGGCTCTGCCAGTGAATGTCCACAGGTACAGTCAGGTCTTTGTCCAGTGGATATGAATGTATGTGTTGACATTGTCATAAAGAATCTGGTCATTAGACATACACATAGATTTTTTTTTTTAGTATTGAATTATAATTCTTTATTAAAATATATCATAAAGACAACTGCTATGTCCTACGTGTATCTAAAATGAAGCCCTGGAGATATCAAAGGCCTTGCCACAAAGCGGAGAGGAAGACCCGGATAATGCCCGTGCATACCCAAAGCGGTGACCGGGACGAACATCTGCCAAGAACAAATCAGATCAACACATTTGGCTCCACTAGACGTGGACACTAGAGCAACTCATTCAATTGGTAGAGGACTCCGGAGTGCAGACAGTGGTCTTATGCATCTCCCAGAATGGAACCGTTTCTGCTTCATTCTCCACTCAATTCTGGGACTAGGTTTCTCGGTAAAGTGGGTTCGTTTATTTGTTGGGTCTCCCATGTTTTGGTCTCGAAAATGATACGGGTTATTGTGGAGTGTAATAGAAAACGAAGTACTCCATACGGAGTACATAGGAGTACATAGTACTCCGTACAATGCTATATATTAGTGGCATACAACATAGTAGAAAGTGCTATGGTAATTTCTCAATATGGCATGTGGGATTCTCAGCCACTTACTCCATATCCCAGCCTAAATACCTAAACCTTGGAATCCGTTTGAACTTGGGCCATAGTTCCCTTGAGTGTGGCTGGGTCTGGATGCTGCCTCGCGATTGGAAGTCCCATAGTCGGCGTTCGGACGTTCATTATCAGACTCCAGTGACATCATAATCCCCGTTCAACCCTTTTTTAGGGCTTTCTTTTTTTTTTTGGAAATCTCTTACCGGGCGACCATATAAGCAACTGGCCAGTTATCTTCCAGGGGATGCACCTAGGGATGTATGTCCCGGATAAATGGCTGACCCGGGATGACATTCTAGACGAATCAAAAATGAAGAATGAAAATGAGAAAGGAAATTACAGTTTTAGAGGTCCGAGAGTGTCTGCCCAATTGACAGACTCTTTAGTTTTGGTAATATACCTACAACGTATGGAGTACGGAGTACAAGCTGTTCCATCTTGTTCTCTTGATAATTTCCCTTTGGAAATGAATGTGGGTATGTCCAGGCAAATTCATTCCCCTGTTGAGATTATTGGTAGATTTGGGCAATTTCTGAGAGCCCTTTTTTGCTTCTTTCTACCTGTTCCATGGAGGTCTTGCCCAAGGTTCATTGTGTATCTATTCTGGATGAATTATAGGTTCAATGTAAAATAATGCACCTGTTCCTCAAGCTGACGAGAATAATATAACCATATAATAACCATATAATTCATCAGGGTATGGGATGATTATGGATAGACGTAATGTGTGCTTATACAGATCGGACAGAAGATTTAGATCGTCATGAACATGACAGATCTAGTCATAGCGTGGGAAGACTGGATCCAATAGCCTCTAAGATGATTCGCATATTTAATTCGAATTCCTTGAGTACTCCAATATACAATAACATACTAATATGAGTATGCCAGTTCCAATTTCAAACTAGGAAGAACGTCAAGTGCTATTTTGTATATCTTATCTCTTTATTTTGCTCGCCATTCTGAGATATAGCCCACGTGTCTGACAGAGAAACCATAGAATGGAATGCCGTTCCTTGCTTCCATGCTTTTTACGATCCGTACATGCCGATGGTGCATTATTGGGACATTCCGCCGGTTTCCTCCCGTGCATATGCATCGACATTTTAAACACCATACCAGTGTCCGGGAGGTGTTGCTTTTGCCAGGAACACGTCCGGCTGCTTATCCACTGTGAAACGATAGTGCTACCGGTATGTGCATTGTGCAATTTGATACATTGTTGAGGATGTATATTGTGGATATGAACATCCAGGGCTTTACTGTATGTGGGTTCCAAGCTGTGTCTGGTATGAAAATATGGAATGAATATGGAATTGAATCCCTCCATAAAAGACAAGCCGTTCGATCTATCCAAGGCTAATATGGCCGTTGTAGTCAGCAAATACCTAGGGCACCTAGGTACCTACCTGGGGGGTATTGTTTGCCGAGACCCGATGGGCACTTCGGAATCCCGAGTGTACATCTGTAGTCATGGTTGTACCGGTGCATGGTTCTGGATATGACATGGATTCCTCTTTTTTTTCCTTTCCTCTCTCTTTCAAGTTGGCCTCAGATCCCTGCTGAGGGGGCGTCATTTTTCCCTGTTAAGATTTAGTTAAGTCGCATGACTTGAACCGAATTGTGGCGATTCCGATCCCCAATGGTCACCTGCTCTAGGTCTGGTGACGTCGATGAGGGGAAGCTCATAGTTTAGATCTAGACATAGAGATATCTGGGCATTTCTAGGGATTTCTAGATCTTTTTAGATATAGATATAACTATTGTAGAGCGATATATACAAATTCGATATATCTTTTTCCAAAGTGCTAGACAGAAATGCTAAATAAACAGTCGATAAACGATAAATGTTCAAAATGTTCAACGCAATTCCTGAAATACCATGTAAATACCATACCAATACAACAGTACATGGTAAATGCAAGTAGCCTTGTAGCTCCTCAACGTTAACCTTTTGAGCCAGGTGCATCCCTACAGAGCAGGGGCCAAGTTCAGTCCCATTTTAGTACCTGAGTGCCAGGAACATTCCTAAACCCCTTCAGACGGGTTCCTTTTCCACCTGAATCTATCTCTATCTTTTTCTTTTTCTTTTTTTCTTTTTTCTTTCTTTTGATATTTTATTGGTTTCTGATACATCTCTCTGTGGATGCCGAGTCGGGGTTCATGTGCCGGTCCAGGTCTCTGGGTACAACTGCATGGACGGGGACTCTGGGTGGAATCCTAATGATTGTCCCGGGCTGGGCGTCGGCTGAGATAGCTTCGACTCACATGCCAAGGGACCCCTGCACCAGCACACTTTGATAGCAATCGAGATCCTCGAAAGAATGGAAGTGGCCCCTTTCAATTCCGATGGATTATCCGGGCCGAATAGCTTTCTGTATACTCCGTAGTATGTACTCCGTATATGGCTTTCCAACCGCTCGGTCTGGTTCCCAATTACCGGTGTGTTATTTTGTTTTTCTTTTTCTTCGGAATGCCCCTGGAGCTAGAGAAAGTCAGCAGATAGAAAAGCCAAATGATAACTAGCTAGAGAACTAGTTAGAGTATACTATTAGATATTATTAGTATAGGACCTGGGAATAGTAGACCGGGTCCAGCTCCAATTGCAGCTTGGACCATCTCTCGGCCCAAGCTTCTTCTTTTTTTTTCGAGGTCAGCTGGTCTCGTGACAGTGGAAGAAAGATTACAGTACAGGTAATGTCAACCAATGACAGTGGTTCCAGGGAAAATCACCGTTGGGTCACCCGACATCCTGTTTCTTTTACACTATTTTTGGGGATATTATAGGGTGTATAACTATAGAGAGATATAGTTGTACTATATGTATACTATACTATGTATAGCTTTGATTATATTCCCACTACCCCGGAGACTCCGCTTTCTCCAAAGTCTTTTTTTTATTATTATTCAATGTTTCCCGGATTTCGTACACCGGCATGTATTGGTAAATACAACAATAACACCCGTACCTATGATATCATTTCCCGAACTTTGGTAAATGACAGTAAGTTACAGTATAACTGTAAACGGAATATTCGATATTCTCTTCTATTCTATGAGATATATATGTGTACCTTAGTAAATATATGTACATATGTAGCTTATAACTAGAAATAAATAAAAGGAGATAAAAAATAAATAAAAAAATAAAAAATAAAAAACCATAAACAGCAATTACCTGAGAAAGTTGGATTTGAACTTGAACTTGTAGCTCTCCCGCCCCTCTCTTTTTCCTCTTCCCCCCCTTCCCGAATTGCTCACCATAAGACATTGGCTTTCATTGATTTTTCTGAATCTGTTTTCTCTTATTTGTTTCTTTGAAATATCAAGAATCAGATAATAATAAAAGTTCCTACACAAAAAAAGGGAAAGAAACAAAAGAAACCCCCCCCCCCCCCAAAAAAAGGAAATCCATTCCATCAACGTCACCTTTCTTTCGCCCTGAACCCGCCCCAATTTTACCTAACCTTCCCTAGTCTAACCCGTCTTATTTCACTCGATTCGACTTTATTGGTTGAACATTCTCTACGCAAAGTTGCCCACCTTTCTCCTCTCTCATTCTTCCTCTTCCCTACTTTTTTACACATTCTTGGCCGGGTGCCGTTTCGCTTCCTTTCTCAGCCCCTCCCTACTCCACCCCGGTTTCCCAAAAACGGTCTTCTCAACTTCACATATCTATTTCCCGCGATGTCACAGAATCGACCCGGGTTGTTCCCAACATTGCGCATGGGTGGTAAGATATACTTGATCTGGACTTCAATGAGACAAACTGACCTTTCCTCTTTAGAGGTCATCCGGGAGAAGGTCCAAGATGGACTGACTGGCGAATCCAAGGAGATCTCCTACACTCAGTGCAAGATTGTAGGCAATGGCTCCTTCGGTGTCGTGTTTCAGACCAAGATGGCTCCGAGCGGGGAAGATGCTGCCATCAAGAGAGTCCTCCAGGATAAGCGGTTCAAGGTAAATCGGGTCCTTGGGGGAATTTATGTGAGGGTCGGATCACTTATTCAGTCTCTCTAGAACCGTGAGCTGCAGATCATGCGGATTGTGCGCCATCCTAACATTGTCGAACTCAAAGCATTTTACTACTCCAACGGCGACAGGGTATGTGTTTCCTGGGTGTCCCGCCCGATCGCTTTCCGTCCCCCGTTCCTGTGGGCTGACCGTGGCCCCGATTCCCCCTCAATAGAAAGATGAAGTCTACCTCAACCTCGTCCTCGAGTATGTCCCGGAGACGGTGTACCGCGCATCGCGTTATTTCAACAAACTCAAGACCACGATGCCTATGCTAGAGGTCAAACTTTACATCTACCAACTGTTCCGGTCGCTGGCCTACATCCACTCACAGGGTATCTGCCACCGTGATATCAAACCTCAGAATCTTCTTTTGGATCCCGCTACAGGTATCCTGAAGCTCTGCGATTTCGGATCCGCCAAGATTCTGATCGAAAATGAGCCTAACGTTTCATACATCTGCTCTCGCTACTACCGGGCGCCCGAATTAATCTTTGGCGCGACCAACTACACAACAAAGATCGGTACATATCCCCTTTCTGCAGGAAAAAGCCATATTGGGTTCTAACATATTCTTTTTTTTTTTTTTTCTAGATGTTTGGTCGACTGGTTGTGTGATGGCAGAATTGATGCTTGGACAACCCCTCTTCCCCGGTGAATCGGGCATTGACCAGCTGGTAGAAATCATCAAGGTTTTGGGTACTCCAACTCGGGAACAAATCCGCACCATGAACCCCAACTATATGGAGCATAAGTTCCCTCAAATCAAGCCTCATCCCTTCAACAAGGTATTTTCCGCCGTACCCTCAGTCTGTAATGGTGCTGACAGAACTAGGTTTTCCGTAAGGCACCACCGGAGGCTATTGACCTCATCTCCGCCCTTCTGGAATATACGCCCACACAACGGTTGTCCGCGATTGAAGCGATGTGCCATCCATTCTTCGATGAGCTCCGTGATCCGAACACCCGGCTACCGGACTCACGTCACCACAACAACCCGTCCAAGGATCTCCCCGCCCTTTTCGACTTCTCACGACATGGTAAAATTATCTCACCCTTTCTAGAGACAAAGGCCCCCCCCGCTAATCGACATTTAGAACTTTCGATTGCCCCCCAATCTCAACGCCCAGATGATTCCCCCTCACGCTCGCCCAGCCCTCGAAGCTCGCGGCCTCGGCCTTGATACCTTCAAACCCCTTTCTAAGGAGGAGATGCTTGCACACCTTGACTGAGTTGACCAGTGTGTGTCCTCCGCCCTCCGCGAGGGATACGTCTGTTCGTTGTGCCGCCATCTGCACTTTGCGTGAGATTCGACCTGCCAACCAAGTTCTATCATGATCTCGAGTAAGCCCGGAATTGAGTACACTGCCTTGTCTTTTTCTTTTCCTTTCTCTTTGAGGACCCGGTATGCCTCGACCCCGGACATGGTGGAATCTTGGAACTGGTGAAGGAGCAGGGAATGGTATGAAGTGGGAAAAGTGCATTCTTTAAAGGCTGGGAAGCGGAAACCATGTTTCTTCGGGGGTGGTAAGGGTTGATGGTTTTCACGCAATGGGAGGTCATGGCCTGGAGTTTATTTTGAGGTGTCTGAGACAGCTCTTGGGAGGAAAAAGTGATACCCTTTCTGTGTACGTCTGCCTTTGGGGGTCGGAGACTGCATAGTTTCATCGGTCGAGGGAAGAACCCCCAGACGCAGCAAGTCGATCTCGACCCCGGAGTGAATCTTCCCACAAATGCATCGGAGATCTTGAGGATTTCTTTGGATACACGTTTAGGGAGGACCCTTCTATGATGGTCAATCTCTCGTCTTGCAGCGCTAGAATCCCCGTTCGTTCTTCCCTTTGCGTCCTTGCTTTCTTTTTTCTTTTTCTTTTTTTGTTCGCAATATCCTTGTATCAGATTCATCGGGCTCGGCTGGTTCCCCGGTCCTCCGACTTACCGGCCATGAGCTATATGTCATTCCAATTCTCAAGCAGACGATTTTCTTTACTTCTTTTTCTTTTTGGTGATGCGTAAAGAAGAAATGAGATTTGACAGTGTAATTGTGTAATTGTGTACTGTGTAAGGTGGAATGTATTCAGTTCCTCTACATTATACAACAGTATTGATACTAGTAGGGGCACCGGGTCCGGAACTTCAATTTCCCCTTCCGAGCTCCCCCATTCACCTCAAGCTCCCAAGCTGTCACCCTCGCTTTTCACTTTCCCAGGATCACTGTCTCTACGATAGAAATCTGGTAATACACTGGCTCATTGAGTTGATTCCAGAACATAATGGCCGAAAACGACCGTCGAAACCAAGGCTACAGGGGTGGGCGCAAACGCCGCTACAGAGGTGAGAGACATGGATCTAACAAGCTTCCCGGGCAATACGCTAACTTGGCTTGTGATTCTCACAGATGATGATGACTTTGATCGCCGCCCACAAAGGCGTAGATATGAGGAGCCATTGTTCGCCCAGGTCCGACGGCAGTTGTTGACCATCGCGGAATCGGTACGGGCCTTGTTTTGTTTTTATTTTTTTCCGCCGCGCGCATTGTGCTCTACAGACAATTGATATGAACTAACACTTTTGTCTCGTAAATAGGCTGCTCGCAGAGCAGAAGATGACGTCCAGGGTATTGCGAAGACAGTCGCAGATAACTACGAGGACGAGGAGATCCGCGGCGACTTTGTCAACATCGCCCTTGATCTGTACGTGTCGGTGTGCTCAATTCATTATGAAATATTACTAATTTGGGTATTTGCAGCGTTCTCGAACAACCCATGAAAATTCCTTTCATCGCCGGCACGGTCCTGGTCGCACATAGTCTCAAGCCCGAGCTTGGATCGGAGGTTTTGAGCAAGGCAGCTGAGGCCTTGCAGAAGTATATTGATATTGGCGCATGGCGTGAAGTCAAGCTTCTTATTCGCTTCCTGGGTATTCTCCAGCCGGTCTACGAGGGTGACGGTATCTTCCCTCTTTTGGAAGAGCTGTTCGCTCGTGCAGTCGACCTCCAGACTGCCTCTTCGGAAGATGTAAGTTGGATTAATTGACTTGTAATGATGAGCGTTGTCTAACAGCCTTTCTCAGCTTCTTGGCCTTGAATTGGTGAAGATTATCCAGTTCACCATTCCTTATGTCATGCTATCCCCCGCCACTGGCTTTGAGGCCCAGGCTTCCGCGCTTCTAGAGAAGACCGATATTATTGCATCTACGCCGCACGCCCTCGTCGATTTGGTGAACACATTCAGCCCCGAGGAGAACCAGGAGGCAGCTGGTCAAAGTGTTATCAGTTTGATGCAAACTCAACTCCAAGGGGAGGCCAATCAGGGCTGGGAGCTTAAGTGCCTCCTCGTCCTTGGAAAGACGTCCGTGATGCCGAGACGGATGAGCCCAAGTCTTTCGAATCGGTGACCAAGGTCCCTTTCCCCACAGTCACTGTGCCTAACCCTGTACTAAACGGCGCGCGTCCTCTCTTCCCGGAGGTCTACCTTTCGGTGTATGCCAACCAAGAAGTAGACACCGTTCCTTCAACCACAGACATCTCCTCTTCGCTTATTCGGGATGCGTTGGTTGATACTATTAACCTCCTTGACTTCAACCGTGTTGCTACAGCCAAGTTCCTGATCGATATAGACTGCTATTTCACCCCTACCACATTCGTGAAGCGTGCCACGCCTTTCGACCGAATGCGCGAGCTCGCAGGGGAGGTGCAGCCATGGAAGCCCGAGGATGTGGCAGTGGACGCCGTGTTCTCGCAGTTATTCCAATTGCCAGCATCGGAGCACAAGCTCGTCTACTATCACTCTGTTCTCACCGAGTGCTGCAAGATTGCCCCCGCCGCAATTGCACCAAGTTTGGGCCGTGCAATCCGATTCTTGTACAACAGCCTGGAGACAATGGATTTGGAGCTTAGCAACCGTTTCCTGGACTGGTTCGCTCACCACTTGAGCAACTTCGGGTTTACATGGAAATGGAGCGAGTGGTACGTTGAAAATGCCAGCTTCCACATGTTGTAATCAGTTATCTAACTATTTCACAGGGTCGACGATCTTGATCTGCCCGCCATTGATCCAAGAATGGCGTTCATCCAAGGTGCTTTGGACAAGGAGATTCGATTGAGTTTCGCCCAGCGCATCAAGGGAACCCTACCTGATCCATACCCGAAGTTGATCACAGCAGCCAAAGAGAAGGATACTCCCGAGTTCAAATATTCCTCTGAAAGTAAGTTCACTCCGTGATTCAATGGCAGATAAAGTTACTAACTTGAGTTTCCAGTGGCACCTTACTCTAAACAAGGACAAGAACTCATGCAGCTTATTCGGAAGAAGGCTAGCGACGAAGAAATTCAGTCCGTCATCACAGCCATCGAAGATCAGGCGAAGAGCCAGGGCGTCGAGGACCCTAAGATCCCCTCGACAGATGCATTCGTAACCTCACTCTGTTACGTCGGATCCAAATCGCTCTCTCACGTCCTGTCATGCATCGAACGGAGCAAAGATCGCCTCCTGGCCATCGGCACGGAATCCCAGCGTGCCCGCTGCCAAATCATCACCTCTGTTATGGAATACTGGGTCGATCAGCCCGGTATTGCCATCAACATCATCGACAAGCTGCTTAACTACACCATCCTCACCCCACTCTCCGTCCTTGAATGGGCCCTATCCGAATCCGTCGCGGCAGGAACCATCCTCTCAAAGCCTCATATCTTCGAGATGATCTCCGCCACCGTCGGCAAGGTCACTAACCGCATGCGCCAGATCGTCGCTGCCCGCACCCAGCCCGGCCTCTACGAGCCCCAGCTTAGCGTCATCGACGAGACCCTTGTTCATGAGCGCACAGATATGCAAGCCCTTTTCAAGTACATCGAGGACTCCATCGTCTCCATCGCTGCTGGAAGCAATGACCAACAGATGGAGCGCGGTGATGGCAGCGGCACTCTGCCCGAGGACGCCATCATCCGCCAATGGGGCCGTCGCTGGCTCCGCGTGTTCCGGAGAAAGGCTGCCGTCGAGGAATCCTTCATCTCTGACGCCCTAGCTAACGCTACTCCACTCGGCACCCAAGCCCCGCCTGTTTCTGGGCGGGAGGGTGCTATGGATGGAGATTTGGATATTGCCGATGCCGATGCGCCATAGAGCGGTCACATATATTGATGCCATCTCGATCAGGTCTCAGGTTTTACATGCTGCGTTCTCGCATTTGATCTCTTTGAACTGTTTCACTAAATGACTTATGTCCCGGAGAGCCTTTTTTTTTTCTATCTTTTTCTCTTTATTGTACTTTAACGCCGGGTCTTCGATTAAGGCCGACAGAAATATGAAAATCCCTCTCCGATGATTCCACGTACAGCTCTCTCAACTCCTTCCAAGGTGTAATTGATCTGCGCCTTGTCCACCTACGTAACTCAGTTGTACAGAACTAAAAGTAAAAGAAACATTCCCCAAGACCTGTTGATTCAACCGTACAATCCTAGCACGGGGATATCCCAAGCCCAAAATACATATGAAAAGTCCTCATGAATCATGTACATCTTGATAAACCCTAAAGGAAAAGAGTAGGAGAAAAAAAAGAGAAACAGAAAAAGTGTGAGAAAAAGACAGCCAACTACAAGTTGGATTCCCTTTCGTGGCCCAGAAAATGAATTAAGAATGGGAATCGCAGGGAAATCAGCAAGACATAAGACCGTGGATATCAAAAAGGGGCCTGTAGATGAATACAAAACAATATAGAAAGAAGAAGGGAAAAAAAAGTCCCGATATCAAACCAAATCAAGGTCCATGAACGTGACCATGACCATGACCGTGACCGTGACCATGTCCATGTCCATGTCCATGCCCATGAATATGAGTCCTGCGATCAACATAATAAGTCTCCCCATCATCACCATCGCTGCTTGAAGCATTATAAACGGAGAAGCCATCCTCGAAACTCCCACGGCGCATCTCCATCTGCATTTGCATCTTCGAAACGCCCTCTTCAGACTCAACAGACTGTATTCGATCCATGGAGTCACAGCTACTCTGCGCATCAGATCGTTTCGTCGTCGAGATCCGCCGGTCCTTGCCACGGCCCTTGATACCCTTGTTGCTGTTTTTGTATAGCCCAGCGAAATATATCCATAGCTCGCGGTCTGCCGCATTCATGTTCATCGGTCCATTCTCGCCCATTTGCGAGAAGCGGATGGTTAGATCGTGGAGTGTTGCTGCGTGGAATTTGTTTTGGTGGGACTATTTTTGGGGTAAAGAGTTGGTTAGCTTTGGGGTTGGTTTAAACGATGGGTGTATGGAAGTGCTGATGTTGTCATAGTAGAGTAAGGAGGGGAGGACTAGGGACTGACCTTGAGGTTGCCTAACTGGGTGAACTGCTTGCCACATTCATCTAAACGGCAGTCAAACCGTTTAGATTGATCATGGGTGAGCTTGTGAGCGCGGACATTGCCTCGCTGAGCGAATCGCTTGTGGCAGATTTCACATTGGAAGGGCTTTTCGCCCGTGTGTCGGCGCTGATGGGTCTAGGTTTTAGGATGCATGTTAGTGTCTGCCTCAGTGTGTCATAATCGCGTGGCGCGGCTGGTGATGTGCTTACCTTGAGGTTGCCTTGCTGCGAGAAGCGTTGCCCGCATGAAGGCTCCTTGCATATCTGCCACACCCAAAATGATTAGTTGCTGATCCTAACGCTAAATTCAGTTTAGATGGAATAAGAAGTATACTCACAAATGGCTTGTCGCCAGTGTGCGCCCTGATGTGGATATCCAGGTGTGTTTTCTGCGCGAAGCTTTTGCCACAGCCTGGCAGACTGCAGTTGTACTTACGCTTCTTGCCTGATCGTGATAGTTGGCCTTCGTTGGCATGGTAGCAGCGCGGTGGTGTAGGCGAGGCAGTCTGGTACACGGGATAGGCCTGCGGGGCCGGTGTTGCCAGATTTTGGAGTGGTGGCAGCGATTGCTGGATCGGCGACGAAGCATGCTTGGCCTGGATTGCCTTCATCAGGACATCCACATTGGTGGAGAAGGCGACGTCAGCCGGAGTTTGCTTCGTCTCGTTCGTTGCGACTGGCGAACTGTGGCCTCCGGCCGAGAGCTGCCCCCGTGGACCATGGTCGGGAGTAGACTTTACTGTCTGGCTGATGGCGTTCTTCGCTGGGCGGATCTCTGGAAGAGGCTGCAACGGTTGTTCCGTTGTGAGGCGCAGCGGTTGCGGCTGTATCGGGTGCTGACTAGGGACATAGTATTGCTGATAGGGATTCGAGTGTGCATGTGTGTTACCCACGGAGCGACCGAAGCTGTAAGGCAAGCTACCTTGGGTCTGGTAAGGCACCGGGTATGATGCTGTTTGATGTGGATAGAAGGGGAAGTTCTGGCTCAGGTTAGATTCCATCGGGCGTCTGTGTGCAAACGCACCCACGGCATGGCCGGGGAACTCGTAAGAGACGGGCTCTGCGGTCTCCATCTGTGTGTTGGAGATCTTCCTCTCAGTATCTTTCAGAAAGGCAAGGATACCTTCTCCCTCCGAATCTCCCACGGGACACCAATGTATCTATCTCAATGTATACCTGTCCTCGGGATGTGCTGGAGGCTTTTTTTTCCCTGTGTAGTCTTCGACTATGTTCCGAAACCCAATCCCCGGTGTTATTTGGGTTCTGGCTGACAACAAGTTGCCTTTCAAAAAGAAGCAAGGATAGAGAAAATAGACAAATCGGCCGGCCAAAGCGCAATCGGTCTATAGATCTGGATCTATATATATGAGATGGAGGGAAAGGAAATAGCAAATATATGCAGGTCATGCCATGAAGAGCGAGGAATGTAATGATTGACAACTAGCGATGATCTTCCGCATCAACCGTGGTGCCTCCCGATCTAGATATATCAGGGCCCCAATGCAATGGCGGGGGCGACAGGGGGGGAGTCAGCCGGTGAAAAGATAGTTGAAAAGCCCCATTTCACCTGTATGACGTTTAGTAACAAAAATAATAATAATAGGCAAAAAAAGGGGGAGAGAAAGAAGAGCAGTTCAACAGAGATACATGCAATGTACTCCATACTAATGTATACCAAAGTCTTTGATTCGATGATCTCCGTGGGCCGGGGATCCTGGACGATTGAGGCGACCTGACTCCACCGAGAAAATAAATAAAAAATGAAAATCCAAAGGGGACGAACTGGAGTTCCTGAGGGTTCCTGGAGCTCTGAGAGCCCTGGAGGGCCCTGGCCCTGAAGGACCTGGAGCATACAGGTGCATTGCATAGTCCATGAGGTGCATTGCTTTGGACGCATCAATTTCCTGTACCACGAGGAATAGTAATTCTCATTAGTCGTAATGTATTTCGACACATTCGGTGTGAAAATGTGTGTCAGTCACACGGGGAAAAGATATACTCGCAGCCGCGACTGGCGAGCCTTTCCAACTTCCCTTCTTCCCCCATACTTTCCTGTACTCCGTATACTTTTGTATACTGATATTGCTGAAGAGACTGACATCTGTCAGACTCAACTTCGAACAAAAAAAGAAAGGAAACACGCTCATCGTGCTGTGCATCTCCCCTCGAGGAGAACGGGCCGGGCCTTCAAATCGCGGAATTCCCAAGTGGGCCGTGATCGACCTGCAGTCGACATGTAGATTATTCAGTCGATCTCGGAGTCAGCAATCGCTCAATGGCCAGCTGGGCCGTAATTACGAGTACTAGGATGCGCCATCCCGATAGTCGCCAATAGTGTCCGATCTCAGCCCATCGAATATCCCAGTTAGCCGCCCAAGGCCCTGGAAAATTCAGTCGGGTGATCTGAATCTCCTTTTGGGGTACCAATCAAATGGTCTCTCTGACATTCACTGCGATCTGTCTCTCTTTTCTCTTTTGGGGCAAGTGGGAATCCATTTTGGCCCCAATAGGAGGCAACACGGGCTTTGCTCTGGTCTCCATGGACTCCGTACTCCGTACGGAGTCTGCCCTCCCCCCTTAAACTGCACCAAATGGCTTGGCTCATGGGTGATGTCGATCATGGCCACTCGTGGCCTTAGCCTCCATGGGGACGATCCGAGAAGTGACAGCCATGGACATCTGACACGAGTAACCCTGCACGTCCTGCGTCGAGATGAGGTATCGGGACTCGAGAATGGTTCCTGCAGGGATGCGACTAGTCTTCACGAACTACTTCCTGAATGGGCGAAGGCAGACTATGCATAGGTCGCGTTAAGCCTAGATCGGTAGGTGCTTTGATGAGATTTGGATCAGCATGTCTCCGTCGGGGATTGGAGGTGTATATTACCCAACTCTCCACAAAGTATTCAATTCAAAGTATTCCGAGTACAGAGGACGGAGTACTTGGGATCGTATTCAAAAAGTCGGAGGCTCTGTGGTGATTCAGACGGACAGGGAAGTTGTTGTTGGGGAGATTCAGCTCGTTCCAGACTGTCCCGACCTTACGTCTACTCCATCAACTCATACACATACAATATAACTACATACACAGTATAGATGTAGAGAATGGCAAATTTTGGAATTGAAAAAAAAGGGAATTCAAGTATACACTAAAGTGTATAAGGTAAAAAAAAATAGAAACAAATTCTGCATAAAGCCCATAACCAAAGCAAAAAAAAAAAAAACATCATAATGCGCCCAAAGGATCAACCCTTTCATCGTCCAGTGTACGCCAAGTATCTAGAAAACAAAAAGTCAGCTTATGATCTGAAACACAGTCAGGAAAAAGAAAAGAAAAAGAAAAACTCACCTCCAGATTCGTGCACGCATGTCTCCACTGCCGGTCGCGAACAGGTTGCCAGTAGGACTGGGTGCAACCGAGATGACTATTCGGAGTTAGAAGAGTTAGATGACAATGCAAGGAATGAAACTCACCAGAGTTCTTGTGGCCTTGAAGCATCATCTGGGCATTTCCAGTCACCGGGTCCCAGAACTGAACACCACGGTCCTTGGAACCACTCATCACCCAGGCACCGTCGGGTGTCAGGCACACGCTGAGAACAAAGTCCTATATCGTAGTCAAAATAGTCAGCTTCTGCCTCTGTCAAAAGTAATCTCAGATCTAACCTTGTGGCCCTCGAATGTGCGAATACACTTGCCGCCCTTGATGGCACTGTGAGGGTGCATGCCCCGGGGGACGGTAAGCTCCCAGAGCTTGATAGTCTTATCCAGACTGCCACTGACAAGGTCACGGCCATTGGGTGCGAATGCGACCGAGTAGACACTGTCCTTGTGGCCATCGGGGTTCTCCAGGCGCTCGACGAGGTATCCAGTTGTAGTGTCCCAGACGCGGACGCTCTTGTCCAACGAACCGGCAGCCACGTAACGGCCATCCGGAGACATGGCCACAGTAGTGACGCCATCCTCAATGCTAAGGGTGTAAACAAGCTTGCCATCGAGAATATCCCAAAGGCGCACGGTCTTATCTCCACTGCCAGAGGCAATGAATCGACCGTTGCCAGCAAAGTCCAAAGAGTAAATGTCCTGCTCGTGTCCGCTGAAGATATGCTTGATGGTACGCTGGTTGATATCCCAAACCTAAAGCCAATCATATTCAAGTCAGCGATCTTCCCACATGCTGCTGGTTCCATACAAATCCGAAAAACTTACGCGAATCTGCTTGTCCTCAGCACCAGTCGCAAGATATTTGCCATCTGGACTGAAGCAAACACTGCGAATGTACAGGTCGCCGTCCTTATCAACGTTCTCATCCTGAAGAGTGGCGACATTCTGACCGGTGGTCACGTCGAAGATTTGAGCCGAGCGGTTGCAGCCCGTAGCCAGGTACTTGCCATCACGGCTGAAGCGCACACAGCAAACGACACTATCGTGATTCAAATGATGCACCAGCTCCACATCAAGAACACGCTGGACCTCAGGGTTGAACACGGCGTACCAATCGGAGCCCTCGCGCTTCTGCGACGGGGGCAAATCATCGGGGTTCCAGTTTGCCAGCATGTTTCCCGGACGTTCAGCTGTGCGGCCGAGAGGGGGGTTGGAGGAGTCGGGCGAGGGATCTGGGGGGATGCGCGAGGATCCGGGTAGGCGATGTGCGTTTGCTGGGGAGTACCGGGGCCTGGGGGAACGCGGCCACGGCCCTTGCCGGGACCAGGGGATGCAGTGGGAGGCGGAGGAGGGCCATAGCCTGAGGGGATGAACGATCCAACGGGTCAGCGGACTGGGCGACGATTTTCATAAACACAACGACATACCGTTCACAGCAGCACCAGCCGGATATCCTCCAAAGGAGCTCTGCTGGGGTTGCGGCGCGCCAGGCTGAGCGACCGAAGCAGGCTGTTGAAGGGGATGCTGGGGAGGCTGCTGATCCTGGGGGAGGGAAGGTGCAAGACCGGGGCCACTACCTGGTGGGTTGGTCATGATACCGCCAAACAGATTGCTGGGGCCGTGGCCCAAGGCGGGTGGGGGAGCCTGGGCAGGAGCCGTATGAGCCGCAGCGGGTCCGCCGATGTGGGAAGGGATGGTTTGCACGCCACGCGACTCGAGTTCGTGTCGCAGCATTCGAATTTCACCTTCGTATCTAAAAAGAAAAAGAAAGAGAAGATGCGACGTCAGTAGGGGTCAAAATTTTGAGAAGGTAAAGGGACGAACTCTTGCTTGATCTTGATCTGCGCCTGTTCCAGTTGATAGACCTTTTGACGGATCATCTCCATCTCCTGGAGTTGACCGGTCACTGCATGATCTGTCAGTTAGATAACATTTCAGCGAATGTCGGAACCCATGGAGCTGCAATAATTGGGAAAATGAACTGGCAACTGCTTGTATGAAATAATTGGACAAAGGGAAGCTCAAGGCGCAAATGCCCTGAACATAAGAGAAGGGTAACAATATGTTGAAAGGGACAGGTGACATACACTGATGCTCGAATTCACCGGTGTTTCGCGACTGGCTCTCAAACTCCTGGCGCAGTTGATCCAGTAACTCCGTCAGACGGGAGTTGGGAGCGGGCACCATCCCACGATGAGCGTTGTACATGATGGGATAATTTTTTTTTTCTTCTTCCTTGGTTTTCACAAGTCACAGGACAGAAATGATATTCGGATGACAGGTCTAGGTCAGCGAATGGGATCGCAACCAAGGTTTCGACCTGGACTCAATGATCTTGACCACTGAGGCTTCAATGCTTGGTGGATAGCACCACGCAGCTAGCCACAGCGATAGTGGGCGATACGATATAAGCTGGGAGATGAAAATGGGGGTGTAGCGGTAAGAGGGGTGGAAGAGGCTGGCAGATGACACTTTAAAGCGGGAAGGTTTGAGTTTGGGGGAAGGGGCGGCAGTGGTTAACGCGTGAAGCGAGGTGATAGGCGAGAAGCGCAGCGGGTCTTAGCGTATACTCTTTTTAACATTCTACATTCTACATATATAATACTGCATAACAAAGAATAATATTTCAAGTAGATGAAAATGATAATAAATACCTTTCTGCAGAAACATGAAACTACTAGTAATCTAGGATTTTGTCCAAAGTACATTTGTACCGGGTTAAATGCGTACATTATACATCCATGTTCCAGATCGTGAGGTTCGCATGAAATTGGTAATATTGCAATGAAGATTACGGAATACCAGGGAATACTTGGATCTACACCCGCAAGTGCGGGCGGTGGAGGTACCTCTGAGTACGGGAAGCTGAAGTGGAACTGGCCCGTGCAGTACCAATTGAGTGCTACTGTTACAGTACATTACATCCATGGATCCTTTGTCCCTTTGTCATAATATTTATTGCCTGATATATAAGGCCATAAATAGCCACAAACCAAGCATTAAGGCACTAAGGCACTAAGGTATCAAATGTGGCAAACCAGGGGATCTTTTTTAAGGTTTCCCTTTTTTTTTCCTTAGTATAACATCGACTATGTCGTGGTGAAGGTAGGAAATAAGAAATAATATAATATTGTACTTTTATATGCTATAGAACTGTCCACTCATAAGATAACTATATACTACATAATTATTCCACATCAGACCATTCCCCCTGGATCAATTGGCTTATTAAGAAAAGGTGGCATCGCAACGGCTGTGGCGGTTCCGCGCTGGTGTGACTTTTGTTATTCGCCGGGAATCTCCTTTTCTTGTTCCTTCAAGTACTTCCCATTCTTCCCTTTCTCTTCCCCCACCCTATCTGTGCCCTCAATCATGGATATCGTTCTGGAATTATGGGACACCTTTATTGGTGATCGCCTCTATTCGACAATCCTCCCCGCCTCGCTCTCTTCGTCTGTCTCCCTGCCGGCTTTCGTCAATGCGGCCGCAAACACCTCAATGGCCCTTTTTGGCCCGGAACATTTTGTCTATGAACAGGCTACAAAGCTGATCTACCTGGAACCCTCAAAATATGCGTACTTGAGTGCTTGGCCCAGGAACAATATCTACCGTCAATTTACAAGCTTTTTCCTGATTACTTGGTAATGCGCCAATTCCTTCAAATCGCCACATTTTTCCACGTCAGCGCAATAACTAATACTCAATTAGGCTATTTGGTCTGCTCGTCTACTTCTTGGTTGCCTCGCTTTCATACGTCTTTATTTGGGACAAGACAACCTACAAGCACCCCAAATTCCTCAAGAACCAGATTGGTCTGGAGATCAGACAGGCCATGGCCGCAATGCCCCCAATGTCCCTGTTGACAGCTCCTTTCTTCGTTCTTGAGGTCCGCGGATACGCCAAGCTCTACGACACTACCGCCGAAGAGCCCTTCCCGTTCTACAGCTTCCTCCAGATCCCCTTCTTCATCTGCTTTACCGATTTCTTCATCTACTGGATTCACCGTGGCCTGCACCACCCCCGCGTCTACAAGACCCTGCACAAGCCTCACCACAAGTGGATCATGCCGAGCCCTTATGCCTCTCACGCCTTCCATCCGCTCGATGGCTGGTCCCAGAGTGTCCCGTACCACGTCTTCCCCTTCATCTTCCCCCTGCAGAAGATCGCCTACGTCTTCCTGTTCGGCTTCATCAACCTCTGGACCGTCTTCATTCATGACGGCGAGTATGTCGCCAACAGCCCCATCGTGAACGGTGCTGCCTGTCACACCATGCACCACTTGTACTTCAACTACAACTACGGACAGTTTACCACTCTATGGGACCGTCTGGGTGGTAGCTACCGCAAGCCCAACGAGGAGCTGTTCCGCAGAGAGACGAAGATGGGCGACCAGGAGTGGAAGCGACAGGCCAAGGAGATGGAATCGATCCTCAAGGATGTTGAGGGCGAAGACGATCGCAGCTACTCCTCCGACAAGAAGAAGAACCTTTGAAACGACGGCACCATATTCTTCACGACTTCATAATGCTTACTTGGTTCTAAACTACAGGGATCAATCAAGGCCCATTACAGGCTCCTCGATAGAGGGGCTGTATATATCTTCGCTTCTCTGGGCTTTGTTTTGGGTTTGGACCTCTGCACCTTCCTGTTTCCCATGCCATTTTTATGCTAATTCAAGTACACTAATTTGCCTTGTGCATCTCTTATCTGTTTTAATACCCCCAAAACTGACTGGCCTGTGGCCTGCTGGTGGTTGGGTGGTCTCCCCCCCATTCTGTATATAATGTTCTTTTTTTTTCTTCTCTTGTCCATGGGCGATCCAAATGCATTTGGTCATGTCTCTTTGTATATCTTTTCTTTTTCTGTATGTTGGCAAGTGCATGTGGTCATTTTAAGGCCAAAAATGGAAGCATACACGTATGTATGAATGTGCTTTTGAATTTATGAAACAAGAAATACCAAACTAGTCCGAAGTCAAAAGATTGAAATTAATTTCAATCAATATTCTATATCCACATTTTGTTTATCGAGTGCAGCCCGAATTCAGGGACTCCTTGGAAGGAAGGCCGGGTGAAACCTAACAGACCAGACCACCTGGCGTCTGCGAGGCAGAGAGTATTAACTCTGCCGCCTGTGGAAGCCTTCCGGTGATGATCTGACACAGAGAAGAGGGCTCCTCTCCGCTGGTGGAACGAGAATGACTGCGCTCGCTACTGGAGAGCCTGTATGATAACACATCGCGACCCATCAGTTGCGTGAAACCCATTCTCAGCCAAATCCCGCTCTCGACTCGGCCAGACCTCCGCACTGAATTGCCCAGATTCGGCAGAAGCAAGTCTCTTATGAAGAGCAAGCACTCGACTAGCCTGGTGAGAATCCCCACACTCTAGCACCGTGAGCTTGGCCCTCAACTTGAATGCTAGGGTGAGAATGCGGTGGTAGAAGATATCCTCGGCCATGCAGTCTTCCGCCCCAGAGCCCGAGTGTGGAGGCACAAGTGCCAGCTTGGGCTCAAAGCGCCGTACACTGCGCGCAGTGGTGCCGTTGCGGAACTCGGTTTGGGATATGTAGGGCGGGTTGGAGATTAATAGATCACATCCACTTTCTTGGACTGGTAGCGAGGTATCGGATGCTCCGAAATTGGGGAGTTGGGTTTGAAGTATTGACTCAATGGACGGTACGGAATTGTCACTGCCATGTCCGAGAACATCGGCGCGATAAAAACGGATGTCTGCGCCTGCACTGGATGCCAACTGGCCCAGTTGCAGGTTATGCTCGAGGTTCTCCTGGGCTAGGCCTAAGGCCGTCGGACTGATGTCCACTGCTGCTATCTCCAACTGCTGGAAATGAAGAGCAAGTAATGCATGCAGAAGAAGTGATATGCAACCTGTGCCGGTGCAAAGGTCAATGACGCGCAAGGGTCTCGCTTGGTTGGGAGACTCGGACTTGTCATTACGGCCCATGGCCATTTGACGGACTAATTTGGCCGCTTGGTACGTATATGATTCAGTTTCTGGCCTGTGAAGGCTTGTCAGCAAGAGACATAGCTTTTTTAAGAAAAAACCTGAGAGGCAGACCTTGGGATCAGAACGCCTCTTCGGCAAAGAATTTCCAAGTGGCCGAATGGTTGATCCCCAAGGATATACTGGAGGGGATATCCTCTAGATCGCATCTGACACATCGATCTTAATCGGCTTCTCCATCCTGTCTTTGATGAAAGAGACTGGCTATCGCGAACTGCCCGCTCGCGTAGCCACCGAAGCTCATTGCGAGCAGAATCTATTGTGCGACATTCTTTGAGGAGTATAGGCAGAAGATGATTTTCCCGTTGAGCTTTTATAATGACAGAAAAGGGGATTCGGGGCATCATGGGAATTCGAGTGGTCAGTCGAGGAACGTTGGTGCCAAGAGATTCCACCCGTTGATGCCAAGACTTATATACAAATCATATGTTGTATAGAAAGAATATTAAGATCTAATGGATTTGATCTATAAACTTAAGATTGGTAAAGAAAATCATAATATCAATGTGTCTTAGCTAAGAGTGACGGTATTCCGAGGTCAGCTAGCTAGGTAAAAGCAATATTCGTGAAAAGCAACCCTTCGATCATACATGTTCATCTGACACAAAGCGCAGATTTCTGTAGACCAACTGCTTCACCCAGCAGATAGCGACAGAATAACTCCGTTGGCGCAGTCTCCTCTCGCTCGAAGCTCCACAGATGTGAGAATTGCAATGTGAGTTGCTTTCCATCATAGGAGGCTTGGATGATTCGGCCGTGCTTAAACCCACTGTATGAAATGAGCAAAAGCTAATGATGTATTAGTACCGATGTGATTATACTGGGGAAATACTTACGGGATGGATATCGGCTGTACGGTATCGGCCACGAACCACTCGGGGGGAGCATTACATTTACAATAGCCTTCAGCTCATGAAGAGTCAAACTTTGATCTTCCTCGCTCGCATACGCAGTCGACAAGACGTTGATAATGCAGTGTGGCTTCGCGCGGTTGCCATTATCCCAAGGTCGGTAAGCGCTTTTCACTACCCAATACATATCTCGTGGTGATATCTGGATCGGTAGTGGGTCACCTTTCTTGAGCCCTTTCTCCCAACTAGAAAAGGTCAATACTATTACCAAGTAGTATCTTGGATATGCACATACTCAAAGTACTCGAAGTCTGTGAGCGACTCTAGATGGAACCAGTCCCGGAATTTCTCATCATCTGGATTCCTCCTTCGTGGTCGGGTAAGGTGCGAGTCAACATGTTCATAAGCGTCTAGGGCAATGGAATCGCACCCACAATGAGTGGAATCCTCATAATGGGCTTTATGGCTAGACTTCGCGATGGTAAGTTGCTCTTTTTCATCCGTAGAGAACTTTTTCGCTTCGTTTAGAAAGTCATACAATGTTGGTGGACTATCAAGCCTTTCAATATCGTTACGTCCGAGTGGATATTTGTGAAGGACTCTCTCTGGATGTGGCCGGAAGAAGCAAGGGTCGAATTGCAGTTGTTCATTAAATATACCCACTCGGGAGGCTTCGACGCCGAGAAGTTTGAGGTCCTCGACAGTGAGAAATATCGACTGATAGTCCTTGAGTTTTAGGTAGAGGGAGTTGAGGACATGGCGATTATCTTGACATTTGGCATCCATGATAACAGATCAGAAAGAGGGCGTAAACGATGAGAGGTGGTGATGAGTAGTGATGAGTAGTGATGAGAGTTGATAGAGAAGTGTTGGAAATAGACGGTGACACGCACATTCGTCATTTGATTACCTAGGTATTCCAAGCTTACCTACTACCTAGGAAGGTACTTCTTAGAGATAATGCAAGATAAGTGAAGATGTTCATATCCTACATTGAAGGAGTAATGGGCTTGTAGCTTCTCACATGGAAACATTTGAAGAATAAGAGAGGGTCGAAGGAGTGTATAAGGAGCAGGGCACCTTTTGCACTCTACAGAAAAAATGAATCCTCCACTTTCATACAACACACACCCGTGGACTTCAACACGTTTACAAATCCATAATGGATTCCCGCCCTACCCTTGACAGGATTCCCAAGACCTTCGATTACTGGACCGGGCCGTACAACTCAAAGTGGCACGACCCTTCAAAAATCAACTCAGCATCAAAGATAACCGAAGAAGAGTTCATTTCATTGAGGGCGAAATTGACGTGAACGACGTGTTCGCGATCACCGAGGTGAAACCTCGAATTCGAAACCGGAAGACGAATCCTTCACTCTACTGGCAAGAAACAGCGGAAACGGTCGCCTGGCTAATGTATGAATCTCAGAATCCCAGGGAGTCACGCAGTCGCCGGTGTGTTAAGCCTGATCATCACAATACCGGAGGACTTTGTGCTGACGATTTGCGTAGACCTCTGTTAATTTCGCAGGATCACTACGAGATATACTTGACACTCGGCACGGCTACCCCGAGCTATATGGACTGACTGGAAGGAAAGAATAGGGAGCTGTTTCCTCCTCTGGAAGATCCCCTCGACCCAGCAAGGCAGAATCGTTACAAACCTAACTTTGCTCCCCTGACCCTACAGGAGTACGGTCCATTTGTTACCACTAAGGGCACTCACATGAAAGAATTGGCAATAATTATTGTTTGCTTGGCCATGCAGGTCACTGGTGGACGTTAATGATGTCAAGGAAAGTCAACAGGATGAATCCTAGTGCACTCCATTGCGCTATAAAGATCCGTTGATACTACCGAGTGCAGTTCGTCTTCACGCTCCTTGATTCTTCTTTTTTGGGGCATCGTTTCTGGTTGCAAATACCAGTGACGGTGCTTTCCAGCAGTTACGAGTTTGGGCCTCTTCGTGGCACTGCTGACCAGTAGCCCCTTTAAGGCTGGGGTGAAGCCAATACAAGCTCAAACCAGAACTACCATCTTTACCGGTGCTTCAAGGTATTTACTATATTTATTATGGAATCCACATCCCTCTAGCAAGACTAGAAGAGAGTGGCATAGGTTGCCTTCTTTAGAAAGTCATCCAATGTTGGTGAATTATCTAGCCTTCGAATATTGTTATATCCGATTGAATACTCCGTACTTTGGAAAAACCTTTTCTTTGGATGGAAGAGGCAAGGGTCGAATCGCAGATGTCGGATATGCCCACTTGGGGGGCTTCGGCCCCGAGAAGTCTGGGATCCTCGACAGTGAGATATCGACTGGCAGTCCGTAAGTCTCAGATAGATGGAGTTGAGGACATGATCTTTATCTTGGGAATCCATGATATGAAATTAGTAAGAGACAAAAATGAGTTGGAAATAGACAGAGTCGTCATTTGGCCAGAATAGGATACGGAGACATATACTCAATAATTTAGATAGCCTTGATTTGATGTTTTAGGGAGAAGGGACATACAATTTCATTATCTGATCGTAATAAGTAAAACAGAAAGAAAAGCCATACGGCACTTTACTCCTCCTGCATGACTTCATCCTCATGCTCTTCGGGCCCTGCACTCCTGACCCGGTTTGTCCTCAATCAGGACCTTCCCTTCGAAGTCCTTGCAGGTCTTGTTGTACCGGAATTGCTCCAAGCACTTGACAAAGCTCTGCTTCGGACCGAGAGACCCCTAATCTCGAAAGCAGGTCAGGCTACCCTGAGTAGCACTATGCTTCACTATAATCACTGACAAGTTAGCATATATCCCGGTTCCCGTACATCGCAGTTCGCACACACACCAATTTTCTGGATCCCCCAAGTATCTGAAAAAGGAAACCTGGTGTTTTTTCGCTTCGATGATCTTGCGAGATTAGCAGATCTCTACACAGCCGTCAGAACATAATCATTAGGCATAGTAATAAGGCTTAGCCCACCGATGAATTGACTCCCCGCCATTCCTGGTTTCGTGCATCATCCATGCAACCATTTCTGTTGGCTCTTGCCTCAGACCCTCATTATGTTGGTCTGTCTCGCCATCGAGGTTTTACCTCGATGATAGTAAAGATGTGTGCCTTATGCCTATTCCGTCTGGGTAGCCATCAATGCGTGCGGTCATCTGGTTCTCGTTGAATTCCACTTCACCAGGTGGAGGACGAGCCGAAGACTATCCGCACCTCATTTTAGGAATCGGAAGTGTGAGGGCTCTCGGGTATTGCAATAACGCATCATTGACAATTTGTTCGTCCTTCGTGAATGTCGTATATGGCATCTCTTCGCGTTGGGCAGCAATCGTTTATCTTCGAATGTTGGTGTCGAAGGGCGTTGTGGTTATAAAGGTATGGAGGATTGGTAGATCGGAGTGGAATGGACGATAATTTGAGAGATGATAATGATGGTTGGAGAGGTGAGAGGTGAGAGGTGAGAGGTGAGAGGTGAGAGGTGAGAGGTGAGAGGTGAGAGGTGAGAGGTGAGAGGTGAGAGGTGAGAGGTGAGAGGTGAGAGGTGAGAGGTGAGAGGTGAGGAAGAAGTGAGGAAGAAGTGAAGGAAGAGGTGAAGGAGAGAAGTGGAAAGGAAAGAAATACATTTAAAGGAAGGACGAGGGCCAAGACATTTGACGAAATCTATATATTACTACATATGTAGAGTATGTAGGTATGTAGGTGTTATTATCTCTTCTAGTACATAAACAATTAAAAGAAGATCATTTAATATGTACATATATATATATATATACAGGGCCGGAAACAGAAAACAAACTGTAGTGTCCCCGGGCATGGACTCACCCTATGGGCTATACCTACATGTACCTAGGTAGGTAGCCCTGGATGCTTAGAGTCATGATCAGTCCAGGGAGAAGTGCGAAAGGAGCGATAGGAACACATATGTACAGACTCCACCTATACACTACTATATTTGGATCAAAGTATTCAATACATTTCATAACACATAAAAACTAAATAACTGATATGGAAAAGAATTCTAGGGATAGCCTTCCCAGACTCCAAATACACCACAGTATGCAAGACATATACATAGAAAGGAGGAAAAAAAGTCGTATGTGATCATCCAGAGATCTTAAAGAGCCAGTAGAGCTCCTACACCGGCAAGGCCAACAGCCATGTGTCTCGGCATAGCGGTCGCCTTAGGAATGGCCATATTCACAGTGGCCGAGCCAGAGAGGTCGGAACCTCCATGCGGACCTCCAATGCGAGCAGCGGTACCACCAACTGGTGCGGTAGTCACTGGGTTCGAGACTGCAGTCGCACCGGGGACGGAATCAGTACCAGTCCCGATCTCCAAGATATCGTTCTCGGTGCTATTGAAGTTGGTGCTGGCGAGAGAAATCTCATTATTCTCGAGATCGTATACCACGTACGCACTGCGAAGGAACGTATCTCCCAGGACTGCCGTGCTGGTTCCCGCGGGGACAATACCGAAAATGCAGGCTCGCTTGCCGTTCCGGAAATAGAGATCGCCGACATCGATAATCATCTCGTCGATGCCCACGTTAATGGTCGGGGATGAGAACGTGAAACTGAGGGTGATGCTCTGCTCAGCCATGCTGCATTCAACATAGCCAATGCCACTGTCCGACTCGTAAGAGACCCCGAGATCATCGTAGATTTCCTGGACAATGGCGTCCGGAAGGTAAGTAAGAGAGCTTCCCGAGTCCAGTAACACACCCGCGGGAATCGAACTCGAAGAATAGGTATTTTCACCGGAAGAAGTGGTGAGAGACAGCTTGGTGAGCGCAATAATGAACTCCGAGTACTGTCCGCCGACCTTTTGGATGGGGACGGTTTGCAGGGCGCCGTGGTATTTCTTGGTGTTGACTCCACCGAACAAGATCGAGCCCGTGTTCGCATCCAGGTCGTTCAGCCAGAGACTGTAGGCATTTGATTGGATCACCCCGTTGTTGACCATTGCCTTGGGTAGGTTGGCATAAGGCGATTCTCCATTTCTGCCAACCTGAACTTCATTCGCAGTATATCCTATACCCAGTACACCCTCTGCGCACAAACGTTCATGTCAGCTCCGTGGCAGTTGGCGTTATTATCGAACACGATCCACTCACCGGGAGAGCCAGATGAGAACCCAATACCAAATTGGAAGTCTTCAATAGTCGTGCCTCCAATGGTAAGAGTGTCGGTAACGTAGTCTCCGGCGGCGCCGGATCCATCGGCATAGCTGATATTGAAGTCCGAGCTCACAAATGAATACGAAGAGGAAGAGCTCGAATCGTAAGTACCGGATGCGCAGGCGTTTTCGCTGGATTCACAGAGAGTAGAATTGGGCGTGTTACACCACAAATCACTACTTCCAGTGTCAAGAACCAGACGTACTTTCTGCTCGGGGGTACCCAGAGTGACATTACAGAAGTATAAAGTTTCCTAGGCAGAAACATTAGTATCAAAGTTCCGTAAGATTATTATATACCTACCTAGGTACCTAGGGGTACTAGGTATATATCGAATTATCATGTACCTCATTGTCCAATGGCTGCCTGACGGTCGAACGTTTCCTCCTTCGATCTCTAGTGATAGGATCGAGAACATCCTTTCGTTGAATATCCATTTGCACCACAGCGGGGTTATCTCTTCGATGAAGGGTTAGACCCCAGGCTGGCACCATGCCGACCAATAGGATCCATGCATGCTTCATGATAGGGTCCTCCCCGAATTCGGTCTGAAAGTGAGAGATCGGCTGGTTTTTTTTTTTCCTGGAACTGCTAAAGAGAGAATGTCCGAAGGGAGGGGCTTTGGATGTGTGAGTTGGAGACAGGAAGGTAAAGGCAAAGATGGGGGAAAGAAATGATATATTTTCCTGCCAATGGTCTAGTCGGCTCCCACCGGATTCAATATTATACCTATAGATGTAATAGTAATAGATGTATTATAAATTTTCACATTTTTTCTATAATTTTAGAATGAACGGCTATGGCGGAAGCCTCCAAGTGCTGTCGTCACCAAGCATAAACTGTACATACAACGTACTGTAAACCGCCTTTTATAACACATACAGATGTACAATATAGTTGGACTAATATACTTTAATTCAAATGATTCACACTGATCTACAATATAACATAGAATCAAGGAATCCTTATACTCTGTAAATCTTTAGCATACGTACGCGACATACGTTAGTGGAGGTGATGACGCGGTTGACTCCACTTCAGCTTGGGCTAATTTGGGACATCCAATTCTTACGATGTTGTATGTATGTGGTATATGTGGTATATGTGGTATATGTGGTAGTTATTGTATAATTATTGTACATTCTATCATACAAATCACCCTATTGTACAAAACAATCTGTCATTCACAGACCCATCGCATCCCGGATTTGGTGCATGGTCACCCGACTGTTGGCCCGAGCTGTTTCGGCTCCCTCCTCAGCCACTGACTCCAGGTATCCAGTCTCATCCTCCATAATCGTAATATACCGATCCCGGGTCTCCTGCAAATGATAGGCGATACGGTCTGCAACATGTTCCTTGAGTGATCGGAGACTTGCACTGTGGAAGTCAGCCGCAATATCCTCGCATGATACACCTTCCAGGTGGCTTAGAATCTCGATGAGATTGGACACCCCAGGCCGACAGGTCGGGTCGTAGGTGATGCCTGCTTCCGAGTCTGTCAGGGCTACTTTGACTTTCTTGCGGATTTCGGCCGGCGAGTCGGTAAGAATGATCCGGGATTTTTCATCGGCATGCGATTTGGACATCTTTGAGGTGGGTTCCTTAAGGGACATCACTCGCTTAGCAGGGGCTGGTCCAGTTAGTGTTTGGTCTGTTCCTTCTGTTCCTTCGAGCAACGGGTATCTTACATATCAAGGCCTCTGGGATGGGGAAGATGGGCCCGTAGAGGTGGTTGAAGCTGTTCGCGGTATATCTGGAAAACTCCAGGTGCTGTCTTTGATCTTCTCCAACCGGGACATGCGTAGCTCTTGTGGATCATCAGTAAAGAACGCCCAATGTAGACGAGGGACATACCGGTGCACAAGGATATCAGCAGCTTGTAGCACTGGATAGGAGAAAAGACCAAGTCGCAGTTGTGCCCGTGCCGTCGAATCATCCAGCGAGGTGTCTTCTGGCAGCTGTAGCTTACTCTGGAGGGTGTCAATAGAATGTCTTCTTATATATAAAAAATAGTAAAAGTGCCACCCACCTTCCACTGCGTCATACGCGACAGATACCCCATGGAAGCCACCGTGCTGAGAATCCACATCAACTCCGCATGTGCTGGCACCTGATTAATGTCAATATAAAGTCTCTATTGTGCTTTAACAGCCAACAGCTATAAGAACCTACATCGGACTGGTAGAATATTGTAGAGCGCTTAGGATCCAGGCCCACAGCAAGCAATGTTGCAAAGGCCTCTTTCCTCCATCTCTTCAATTGGGCTGGGTCTTGCGGTACTGTCAATGCATGTAGATCAACAATAGAGAAGAATAGCTTAGTTCCTTCGGCTGCATCTTGCTGGAGCTTCACCCATTGATGTAAAGCCCCCAGATAATTGCCCAAGTGAGGCACACCAGTTGGCTGAATCCCAGAAAATATAATGGGCTCTTGTGCTGGTGGTGTGGTGTTCGAGCTATTCCATCGATGGCATCTCCTTGGAAGAAGGGAGAGCCCGCTTGGACGGATATGGAGGTGTTTCGCACGCAATGATCTCAGCAAAGTAGATTCATGACGCATCGCGTTGGCAGACATCTCCAGTAAACACTCAATCGGTGCGAGAATGGTAGATTTTCAGTCCAATCACTTCGTACTGCCCTGCCAATGACCCTGAAAAACGCGAACCGCGAAATGCATCACGTGATCAACATCGTGGCCTAGAACTGTACTGGGCATTGTCGACAACATCGAACCTATGATAGGCGTATTCGCATATTTCGCATATCAGAGTACTCCGTAGTAGCAGGTCTATTAGGGATCCAGTGGCAAGTAACCTTTCAGTATCTATAAGCTTCCTTTCATCTGGCTTAAATGAGAATAGTAAAACAGTAAAATACATATGGCCTAGGTAAAAAAAGGCTTTTGAATAAACAGCGCCTGCAGCAAAGACACCAAGTCCGGATGTTCACGGGTATACAAGTTCTGCAGTACGTCACCATTCCATCTATAGACGCTTGCGCTCCGCGAATCGCTCACTATTCAAAGTATCGAATATCGTGCCCGGGCAGAGTTGTCCTTCCGCTGACCGAATCGCGCGAGTTCTGGGCGAAGAGCTTCTTCCACCTCGGCAACAGAAGCGTCCATAGCCTTACCAGCATCTGGAATAGAAACGATGGTTAGTGGCCTGATCATTGAAGACGCCAAAAGAGAGAGAGAGAGAAAAGTGTAACCCATACCGAGACTGTCATGTTCCCAGATGTTTGCCTTCATACCGACTCCATAAAATGCATGCTTCCGGAGGAATGCAAGCCATGCCTGCACCGCTTGTGGGTTTCCATCCTTGATCTGAACCAGTCGACGGAGAGTGATTCGTTCGAAGTTCTCCTGGCTCTTCTTGTGGACGAAGTTGCTTCGGGGTACGGTCCAGCGTTCAACAATGCGGGGCAGAGGCACAGGCCCAGACACAGGAAGGTTGAGGTAGTAAGCAGCACGGATGGCAAAGTCCGCGAAGAACTCTACATTACGGACACTGTATGATCGCAATTGAAGGTCGCAGACTGGGAGGCCATACTCTGCCTTCCTCCGCAAAGGCCGTAGGTATATGGCTTGCACGCTTCGTGGAAGTCGGCTGTCCTCAAAAGCTCCTAACCGTTCAGACCTAACCAAATTGTGAGCAGTGATCTTTGATATACTTTGGCATTGAGCCAATTGCCTTCGAGACTGACCATTCTTTCACGCTAGGCTCAGTAACTTGCTCAGCTTCCGTCGATCTGAATTGTCTCAATTAGCGACAAACCCAAATCATACTAGATTCGGAGAGTTATCTTACGCTACTGGAGCAGTTGATGCAGGGGCGGTAGCGGGGGTAGCGGTGGGAGTCGTGATGGGTGTGGCAGCAGGAGTAGGGGCCACAGGGGCAGCTTCTGCAGGTGTAACCGGTGTAGGGGTAGGTGTTGGGTCTTGAACGGGTGTCTTCTCTTGCTCCGGCGGAGTTGGTTGGGTTGGGGATGATAGAGAGCGGAATGGGACAGGCGCCTTCCAAGGAGCTGTTAGCGTGGGAATTGTGAGCTAAACAAAATGGGAACATACCCAAAGGCGTTTGCTCACTCCAATTAAAGAGCGCGATGTGTATGAGAACATTGTTAATCGTGATTTCGAGAAAGATCCGTTGTTGTTGGCGGATGGTTTTTTTCGGAGAGCGAGTCCAGGGGCGGTGAGTGGTGAAACTTGGATATAGAAACTACAGTGTACAGTGAGATATCACTACCTACATATGTACATGTAGGTATTATACTATTATACTATTATACTATTATATATGAACTGCATAGGTAGATAGACTATCTACACATATGTAGGTAGTTCCTAGTATTGATGATTTGATCCAAATTATCTTGTCCGTGCTACCAATTCCCAATGTTACCGTATAGATATGTTCCCTCATACTTGATTAGCTCTCTTACTCCAGGCTTTTAGGTGGAATATTCTACTCAATGAATTCATTAGACAAGGTTATCCTTCAACATCTTCAATGTTTCTATGAATCGGATCATTTGCACCCCCGCCAAATTAGCCTGGGCAATGGAACCATGTGACTCCGCACTTTGGAAACGTCTTTTTTTTTTTCCTCTCTTTACTCATCCTATTTTTTCACTTTGTATATATTCTACTTCTTTAAGTGTATACACTGACTTCTGCAAAAATGACAAAGATAGACTTGTCCTCGTTCGAGCGGGCTAACGACGCGGTTTCTTATCTCAGAACCAAGTTGCCAGAGATCCTGCAACAGCCTCAGGTCGCAATCGTATGTGGCTCAGGACTAGGAGGGCTTGCAGATACTATTAAACCCGAGTCACGGATTGAATTTGACTATGCATCCATCCCTCACTTCCCTCGCTCAACAGGTTGGTCATCTTTTTCAGACCCAGGAAGAGATTCTAACATTCCACAGTCGTTGGTCATGCTGGAAAGCTGGTTTTTGGTCTTCTTGGCCAGAAAATCCCTGCGGTGTTGATGGTTGGCCGTGCTCAGTCAGCTTATGCCCTCATCCTGCCTGTACCATAGCTGACTTTGGACTAGTTACTACGAGGGGCATTCGATTGATCAGGTGGCATTCCCAATTCGAGTGTTCAAGCAGTTGCAAGTGAATACGGTTGTCTGTACGTTCTACATGATCATTCTTAAGGTTGATGTTACAGAATGGCGAGAACTAATGGTTGGTAGTGACCAATGCGGCCGGAGGTTTGAATTCTGAGTATGAGGTGGGGGATATCGTTCTATTGAATGATGTAAGAGAAACGCCCATCAAAAGCTATCGAGCCGAGTTATTCTAACATGGGTTACAGCATCTCTTCCTCGCAGGTCTGGCAGGAACTCATCCATTGAGAGGAGCCAATGAGGATGAATTTGGAGTGCGATTCCCGCCCCTGTCTGACGCCTATGACCTTGACCTCCGCCGTCATGTGCATCAGTCATGGAAGAAAATCATATCACCAGAAAGCAAGAGAAAGTTGCACGAGGGTGTATATGCATTTTGCGGAGGCCCTACGTAAGTCACCTCGACACTATCCCTTTTGAATCCGATTTCTGACAGCATCAAGTTACGAGACGAGAGCCGAAAGCCGGATGCTTCGAATGCTTGGTGCCGATGTGGTTGGAATGTCCACAGTACCGGAGATTGTCACCGCCAGACATTGTGGCCTGCGAGTGCTTGCCTTCAGTTTGGTCACTAACAAGGCCGTATTGTCTCCTGTGCCTCGCGGAGATGACGATTTGCTCCAGAATAAAGCAGCAGGAGAATTGAGCGCTCTTCTAGAAGAGGGCATGGCAGGACACGAGGAGGTTCTTGAAGCTGGCCGCGCCGCAGCCATTGACATGCAGGTAAGATGGCTAAATCAATCCTTGGAAGACGATGATATTGACATCGATCCAGAAACTGGTTGTCGAAACCCTTGTGGATGTCTTTGATCGAGTTTAAGACTGGGCTTGACACAGACTAGTTCATATGAACTCAGATCGTGACAATCTGGGTCCAGCATATTAGGATCCCAGTAGATGTCGTTTCGTTGAGGCGTCGACCTTGGTCAACAAGGTGTTGCCATCCGTGGGATAGTTTGACAAAAGTAGATACCGAAATTTCACTTGTTCTTCCGGGTTCTCTTTGCCTGCAGGTCCTTGTAAAAGGACTTCTTTCCACTTGTTTTGCTGGCTTGAATGTCCCTATATTTGGACTGGAAGCGCTTGGTGCCACGCTCGAGTGCCAATGTCTCCTCGACGAAGTTCTTCTTACGGTCCTTCTTGGTGATGCGATTGCTGAAGAACTCGGTAGGCCCTTCGATGATAGTTCCAACCTGTGAATATTCTGGCGGTTTGGCCTTGCCATTTTCCTTCTTGTAGTGACGCTTGGGGTCAAGCACAGAACGCATCCGGATGAGCTGCAGATCTCTCTTAAGCTCTGTGGTCATTTCTGTTTTCGGGAGGTTGAACCACTCAGGTCCAGCAGTAGGCTTGTCCTATCAAAGGTGAGGATTGTTAGCAATGCCCACAAATATCGCACCGAGAAAAGATAGTAATTGTGATGAATGCTCAGAGTAACTATGAATAAAAAGGCTCTCACTGGTGCAGCACAGCCCAAGACGGACTGGTTACGCCGCATCAAGCGCTTCGCGTTGGGAATATTTTCCTCATAGCAAAAAAAAAAAGGAAAGGAAAAGACGGCAAGGAGTTGATCGGATGACTCACGGTATTCGCTTTCTTGATCTCAGCCACGCGAAGAGAGTTAGCCAACTCCTTCTGCTTTTGATCGGCTATTTTCGCAGCATCGACAATAGCAACATCATCTCCCTGACGAATGTATGCTTCCAGCGAGGACCCAGGTGACAATTTCGGGATCCTAAAAGGGATTAGCCTAGATCCTAGGTTATTGACCTTGAAAGGCTTCCATACCTGAGAGATGCCAGATCATCATTCTGGGTGGTTAGCGCATTGGGACCCTTCAGTCGAGCCTCTGCCTCAAGAAGCAACTGCTGAATCTGATCATCAGTCAGGTCTTCCTGAGCACCCGCACATGTTGAGTCAGCCATCCCTGGTGAATAGGGAGGGTAGCAAAAGCTCAAGAGGTTTTAAGGTGGGTGGACGGAATTTATATTTTTTCTTAGCTTTGCTTGCTGCTCTGCCCGGGATCGGAGAAACGTTTATGAGAAATTTCTGCTAGTGCGAGAGTGGAGTAAGGTCATGTGATGGTAAATACTTTTGGAGGCAGTATCTGGTACAAAGGAACTTACTAAACTTTTACGTGTGCACTAGGTACTAGTACTTATGTTAGAAGTACTATCTGAATTGGTACAGCTCCTGTATTGAAAGTCGAAGACCCCAAGGAATTCACCTATCAGAGGTATTTCTCTCCATTGCCAGGTTCTATATACAAATGCACATTTACTTTCATTGCAATAGAGTAATACAATGCTTTACAATCTTTTCTACTATTTTAAATTAGTCCTAATTATATGCAAAGAGAAACCTATCTTACCATTTTAGCTCTAAACCCTCTATATCACATACATTGTATACATACATAAGGTATTATACATATCGACCTCGGAGGGGTGGCCCCGGAACGTCAGACAGCTGAACACTTCTAGCTTGGCACCCCAACGCGCCTTGACCTGGAACACCAAGCTTCACATAGTCTCTGACTGTGAAACTCATCTGATTATCACTTTTACATCGCATCCTTCCGTTCTTCGTTCTTTGGTCCTCCACCCCTCGCCTTATCTCACACCGGGTCGCGTCGCATCCTCCTGGTCCCTCCGCAGCACGACCTGCCCGACACACACCCCAAGAGGCCCCATATTGCTCAACCCCAAAGCGAGCATGGAGCAATCCCCTCAAGGCTCCGCGCAGCAGGGCAGACAGCAACCGCAGCCGATTTATGATGTTAGAAATGGAGGTCATTATGGTAAGTTCCAAGTTTATCATTGCGCCAAAATTACGCGCCAAAACCATGCACCGGGGTCCGTCAAAGGGCTACTCTGCTAGCTCAGTTGCTCTCAGCTACGCAATTGGTTTAAAATGGAGGCTAACAACAGTCGTTATTTATAGGTGCTAGCGCAGCGGTATGTCCATCGCGGTGGGCCACGCGGGCCTTACCTTTACTCTATGATGATCGCGCGAAATGTCTCGAATAGCAGCTAATCAAAGTCGGGTAAAATAGCTCTCGGCGCAAGGTTACGCACCAGTTGCCGAGTTGTACACTGGTACCTGGGCCAATGTAAGCTCCTGGAGATGACCAGACAAATATCAAGCTGATACTCACCAGAAATAGGTAAACCAAGGCCTCCAAGGAACTGCGCGTGATATCCTGACGACATACTGGCAACATGTCATCAACCATTTGGAGTCAGACAACCATGACTACAAGATTCACCAGTTGCCATTGGCCCGTATCAAGAAGGTGATGAAGGCGGACCCGGAAGTCAAGATGATATCTGCCGAGGCGCCCATCTTGTTTGCTAAAGGTTGTGATATTTTCATCACAGAGCTGACTATGCGTGCCTGGATTCACGCCGAGGACAATAAGCGTCGTACCCTGCAGCGATCTGATATTGCCGCCGCTCTGTCCAAATCAGACATGTTTGACTTCCTGATTGATATAGTTCCCCGCGAAGAGGCAACCTCTCATGCCAAGCGGTCGAGTCAGGCTGCCGGTACCGCACCAGGACCATCAGCTGCCCCCGGTCAGCTGCCCCCTGCTCCGCATGGAGTTCAACCGCACCAGCACATGGGCCCTGCCGACTACGCCTCCCTTGGCCAGCACAGTATGCCTCAGGACCAGGAGTATCGCCCGCAACCTGCCATGTACCCCGGAGCCGTTCAGTCAGACCCAACTGCAGCGTATGGTCAGCCTCAGTCCCAAATGTTCGAGGGGATGTACGCCTACCCACATCTCCCTCCCCAGCAGGTATGTAGTTGTCATATGTCTCATCTTCAACAGACAAGCTAATTTTGATCGTCAAGTGAACATATTATCAGCACTATGGTCTAGCCCGTCATTTTAATTTAGTTCATGCGCGTTTCGAGGCGAATTTTGGTCTGTTTTTTTACCCTTTCTTTTTTTGTTTCTTTTCTTGTTTCTTACTGCTCGTATTTGATTATTCTGTTGTTTTATTTCCCGCGAAAGGCAGTGTCGATGCTGTAGAGTGTGATTGAGCAGCTCCCGATCTCTCTGAAGTTTCCGGGACTCTTTTATGTGCGGAATGAGTGTTGATCCTGAGTAGAAAAAGAGGAAACCACATGTGGAATTGTGAAAGTTGTGTGTGATTTACTTTGTTGATCATTAGCAGTATCATATATATTCCTACATCTCGTGCAATAAATCAAACCTACATCTCTTGCTTGGGGTAAATCGAAGTTACTTACACTCTAAGAGGCAAGAGACATCCCCAGACGGTCCAAAAATTGTTTCATATGGCCTTCTTACCTGTTCGAGATATGGTGGGTGTGCTTCTAGCTGTATTTCTGTACTTACGCCCCAACGGGCAGAGATACTTCATTGTAGTAAACCATTGCATTACACATAACACACTCATAGATTTATCCAGACTTCTTGAAGCGTGATGAAAGAGTCGCAAATTTATCCACCTTGGTGGGGGCTTGGACACTGCGTGTAAGCCTATTCGTACAACTAGTTAGTAGGTAGTTCACGGTAAGATATAGATTTCAAACGTACTTTTCAAGCAAAATGGGCCCTTGCATGGCATCAACGCGTCCATATTTCTTGTTCCTCGTGGAAATGTCATAAAACTCGTCTGCGCTGTCCGCCTGCATCAACTGCACGGTTTGCTGTAACTCATCGAGGTTCTCACGAAGAATTGGGACATTTAAGCTGTCCACAAATTCGGCAAGATATTCGACATCTTTCGCTAATGCTGACACTCCGTTGGGGTTGATTTTCTTCACATCTGGGGATAATGGTTGTGCCTGAATTGTCGGTCAGTAAGTCTCTGTTACAGCCGATTGGAGTCTATAGAAAACCCACCAGAATCATATTAGCCGCATGACTAAGGGCATCAAAGTAGATGAGCTCTTTGATTTCTGTGGGCAGACCCAACAATGTGGAGTTCATGATGTTGGACAAGAATCGAGTCAAGGTCTGCATGTAATTGCTCGGCTCTGTGGGAGGTGTAGGGGACATCCACTCGTACTCTGCTGTCTCGATAAGGTCATCGATTTTGGAATTGACTACCTCGAAGATACGCTTTTCGGCTGCCTTCTTGTTGCTTTTGAACTTTTCAGTGGCCCTCAACACGATCGAAGTGCCGGTGGAGTTTTGTGATCGGGCTGCTGCCAATAAGAGTTCCAGCTCGCGGCAAGCTAGCTCGAAGTGTTCCAGGTTAATAAGAATCTGAACGATCTGGCCTAGATATTGAGAGGAAAGACGCTCCACTAAAGTGTCGCAGACTTTTTGTGAAAGGAGATCATCCAGATCCTGCTGGATTAGTTGTCGAGCCATGGGTGTTGAGTGTGTTTATTTGAACTTACATCCTTCAGTGTCTCATCGATCACATTTGTATTTGCGAAACCATCATTTGCGAAGAAATAGAACTGGTTCAGGAAATTCCGAATATCAATGCAACACAGCGGGTACATCCGGGAAAAGGGTAATATGCATGGGAATCTACAATGATCAGTTAGGTCTGGATAAGGACCAATCTGTCCAGTCCGATTCAGAACTTACACTTGTTCCTCGCGAGGTTGTTCGGGGCTGTACCAGCTAACGTTGAGGACCTTGTCATGCTCCTCTTGGGTCTGTATGGGCATAGGCATATAATCATCCGTTGATACGATCTGGCAGTGTCAGCTTTTTGAAATAGATTGATAGGGTGGAGGGGAAAACAGCCCTACCTCCTGGAAATCATCACTGAATCTCTTCTTCAGAAGCTCGGCGTATTTGCCAAAGAGTGTTAATAAGAAGTCATCAAAGACACGCACTGGGAAGTTCCACGTCTGTTATATGGATATCAGCTATTTGGGCCCAGGATAATAGAGCTGGTCTACCCACATTCATCGTCTGCATGAATAGAGCAATCAGATTCTTGATGTTGAGAATGCTTTCAGCGTTGTCGACTTCATGAAGTGCTTTCGATATCAACACTACGGCCGCCTGACACATCGAGTCCCACAGCTCGTCAATCTATTTAGAGGCATGGGTCAGATCATTCCCACAAGGCCCCTTGTTGAAGAGAGGCTAAAGAGAAGGAGGATATGGTTTCTTACATCGACGGATGACCTGAGATCGGGGGCTCTTTTCATTGTGGCCCGTTCAACAATGGCGAATCCAGCCATCTCTTCCAAGAGATTGTGCAAACTAGAACCATCTTCATCAACAAGGGTGATAGAAGACGGAAGCAAGAGCTCTTTTTGTCTTCGACGGGTGGTCGCGTACTCAATTCGGAATTTATCCATATGTCCCAAAGATTGATGGATATGCAAGCACTCGAACAGCGGTGTGAAGTCGACTTGAAGATCTTCATTCTGGAGCAGGTCATACTCTTCATCTTCATCAGACACCAGCTCGATCGCAGAGTTCAGATTGAAATGTTCTAGGTAAGGGATTTTTTCCGCTCTTTGTTTTTGTCTGGTTTTCCGCTGGTCTGTGTGGAAGAGCGCAATTTCCCCAAGGTATTGAGACATTTCCCGGATACGATAAAGCCAGGTGTTGAGGTCTGACATCACTGCTTCCGCGATAGCTCTCTGCGTCGCGGGAACTGAGCGTTGTATCATGACTGCAATCTTGTATTGCGTCACCCCCTTTAGATGGACGTTCTGCAATTCCTCCAGCGCCCGCAGCGCGGCGTAGTGGTTCTTCTTTGCCAAGAGGTCATGGACTTGGTTGGCTAGACGCAACACCTCCAAGCAATCCTGAATAGCGCGACTGGTCTCGTCAATGTTCTGTCGGTGGCCACGCGATTCCACCAGCGCTTTCTTCTGCTCGGCTAGGCGTTCGGTACTGGTCTGAATAGATTGGTTCAAGTCAAGGATCTCTGCTGTCAAGCTCACTGTCCCTTCTCGAATCCGAAGCAGTGAGTTCACAGATGAGACAAATTCCTGGTGATTTGTGTTGCATATGCTTTCGATCTCAGACTCTTTGTCGCCCGCGAACCGGGATAGCGACTGCAGGAGTTGTGGAGTGCGGTTTCCAACACTGTAATCTCTGATAGAGGGGATAAGCTGATCCAGATAGTCCGTGTCCGACGGTGAGATGATAATCTAGGGAGAAGAAGTCAGTCCCATCTAAGTACCTTGTCCAACGTGTATTGGCTCACTTGGTTCAAGACATGTGGCTCATTGAGCATTGGAGCCATGGGCGGCATAATGGCTCAGCTTCATAGCCAGAGAGAAGTCCAATAGTCTGAATACTTCCCTACAGGGCTTGCAACCTTTATCTAGGGTAGTCAAGCTTAATAGGTACCTAGGTAGTTGACGTCCACAGGCGGTCAGATGTTCAATCTGCCACCATGTGAATGACCGCTTTTGAAAGTCTAATCCTATTTTGTGCTAGCGTTGTCACTAGCGCGAACCTTGGCCAATATCAAATGTATACTCCGTACATCTTCTCTTGTTCATCTTCTCTTGTTCATCTTCTCTTGTTTCTAATCTATATCTCTACAGTTATTATTATTTGTCCCTTCTTTAACTTTTTCACCACTTCATCCTTCTTCCTAGCAGTTGAGTCTGTGAAATGGGCAAAGAGAGGTTCAACAAGCTGCATTACTATAAGCAAGTAAAGCCTCAGTGCAACATTCAATATACCCTCTGGGACCGATCAATCGATACTTTGCGGTCCCATGTCGACAAAGTGAAAATTACCGGCCGAACTATTTGACTATGATCGTGAACCATCTGCTGCCATGAAGCTGTCTAATATGGCTTTATGGGGAGAAAGGAATAGAGGCCAGAAAGCCAGGAACAAATTGGACACAAGCAAGTAAAAAAAAAAAGCAAGCCCCAATTCACCATGGAACTTGGACATAATCTAATGGCAGTAATATAGTATATACGTTGGTCTGTGGTCGTGAACAAGGCCTTTCCGTACTGATCATTGATCATTCAACGAATATATATGATCACAGTATCACCGTGAGCTACAAACGGCCGGCTCGTTGGGTCGTCGGGGTCTTTAATCCCACCTGGCCTGCAGACCATTGATGAGTCGCTTAGGGTGTTTGTATAATCGAGTCGCCTTATTGGCTCTGCTTCGAGAGCTATGAGTCGAGTCCAAAATATAAAGCCCTTCCGTTTATCCTCCGCCAAAGATCTCTTGCTTTTCCTTCTTCGCTTTTCTCCCACAGTACTTCTAGCATCTCTGCTACCACAATATCCCAAGCGGCACACCGAGCCCCTCGCTTTGCGCCAAGAGACTCCTTAGCTTGTATGTCGACTTGTTCTTCTAGTATGATTCTGAATTCTCGGCTCATCTTCTTATTACTTCAGTATTGAACATGGAGAAGCTTTCTCCAACTCGAGGATTGCCATCTGAGCAGCTTACTGCTTTCAGTCCCATGGGATATGAGGCTTTTGCTCATCGGACAAACCCCGAACCGTTCACTGGAACGGCCACAATCCGTCCGACTGGGTAAGCTCTAAATACATCCAAGACAAAACAGCCCTAACAAATTATGCTGCAGTGATCCGTTCGCCGGTTGGCTAAATGATGGGACTTCACGCATTCTGCCTCATGCGTCCACTGCAAGCTCTGGGAACAGAACCACCGAGCCCCAGTATTCGTCTGTTTCGCCTCAGCTGGCCCGCACAGCTAATGCAGTGCGCACCTCAATTGGCCCATTCCAGTACTCGTCTGTCTCCCCTCACTTGTCCCCGACAACCTCTGGCCCTGGTGGAATGCGATACTCGCCTTCCCATGTCCAGGCATCTCGGTCGCTCGAGCAAATGGCATACTCACCTCGTTCCTCAACTCACAGGCAGACGCATTTGGGGGCATCACAGTACCCACTCTCTCCTGTCCAGACAGGTATTGCCAACGCTCGGTACTCGCCATCCCGTGAAGATATTAGTTATGAATACAGCCCGACCCCGGATTTCTTATCTAGCTTGTTCGCGACCACTCGCGTTCCCTCGGCGGCCACCTCGACTAATGCACTGACCCATGTCTCCCCCGATAACCAAGCTGGTCGCGCCACTGGCACAACCAACCTGCCTTCCCTCTCTGGTGGAAGTCAGGATGTTACTGAAAAGCATCGAAGCTTTATCGTGCACCAGGTCCCTACCGACACCCCGCACCGCTCAATTGTTATGATGTTCCCGGTAAGTTGTAATACCAACATGATCATGGGACTAAAGCTGACTTTTATCAAGATCAATGAATATCCTTCCATTGAGGATGTTTGTCTCAAGCACATTGAGGCTAGGGGTGTATTCTCCATTTCGTTTGGGGATATTCGAGAGGCCGTCCATGCCATGAAACAGATTCGCCTAACTCGTCCTTCTTGGCGCGTCTTCGCGGCCGGTTGCGAAGAAATCGCCAACTTCAATCGAATCGCTGGATCGGCTCCCTCTGCATCCGTTCCTCGAGATGGTGTATTCCTGCTTTCTGTGTGCACCATTCCAAGCCAGTGGCTCATGGAACCTATGGAAGATATTGTTAAACATGTGCTCGCTTCTCTTGGCAGCTTGAGTTCTTGCAACCTTATCGAGAACGGCACAAACATGAGTCGATACCAAGTTGAATATTTCAACAAGCGTCATGCGGCTTATGCTTTTTCGTGTCTCGATGGATTTAAGCTCGATGTATTTCCTTTCCCCCCCTTCTTTTTGCCTTCTTGAAAGTGCAATGCTAATATTGGTTTTCTGCAGAGTCTTCGTTTCAATGTCTCTATTTGTGCAGAAGAAGACATACCTACCCCGTCTCATCTCCGAACCACCAGCTTTGGCTCCCCTCAGAGCCCTGTGACCCCTTATCATCTTGTGTCGAAGGAGAGCGAGGTCGAGGAGAAGATCGATATTTCTCCAGCTTCTGAGACAGGCCAGACGAGTGCGGAGCATGCTATTGATCTCGACCGAATCAGGCAAGGACTAGACGTTCGCAGCACTGTAGGTTTTTTGCCCCTGTCTGCTGGAAGACCGATTTCTCACATGTTTCATTACAGGTCATGATCCGCAACATTCCCAATAAAATAACCTCGGTATGATCATCTCCCATCTTTTTGTGGAATCATAAAAGCTAACTGGATGTGATCATCCGACAGGACCAATTGAAGAGTATCCTGGACGAGTCTAGTTATGGGAAGTATGACTTCCTCTATCTTCGCATGGGTAAGTGTTGCTCGGTGATTTACTTGCTTGTTCGAGCTAATTCAATCGACAGATTTCACTCATCGTTGCAAGTAAGTTCTGATGGCTCTTTGCTGGCTTTCGATGTTACTTACTTGTACTTATAGCGTTGGTTACGCGTTTATGAACTTCGGTGATGTGAGTATTTCTACAGGCTCTATTTTCATGCTTGTTCGGTATTTACTAACGTAACCTACAGGCAATTGACATTATTGATGTGAGTTATCTCATGGGTCAGTGTGTGACATGTACTTACCAGTTTCCCTTAGCTGGTGCACGCTCGAGAGGGCAAGACGTGGTATGTCCCTCCGTATACTTCCCAGAAAAGTGCACGGTCGCTGACTCGAGACAATTACAGGCCGGACTGCATCTCCGAGAAGAGGGCTGAGGTTTCTTATGCCAGTTTGTGTCCCATCCATGGTCAATGGGAATGGTGTCTAACCAGTTTCAATAGCACTTCAAGGCAAAGAGGCTCTCGTGAACAAGTTCCGCAACAGTAACGTTATGACCCGGCCTCACGAAGAGCGACCTCGAGTGAGTTTGATCCTTTTTTTGTCCCATTCTAGTGCCGATATTGACCAAATATAGCTCTTCCATATTGACGGCCCTCGTGCAGGCAGCGAAGCGGCTTTCCCCGGCCCCAATGACGCCAGTAAGCTGCGTCGATCGGTTGCTAGCACCACCCAGCAAGGTAAGATTTCGTACCCTTTTTGCTTGTGGGCATGTCCTGACCCTTTCACAGGCCTCTTTGCACCACGGAACCGAGCTCCCACTACACCTCGCACCAACCGCACGCGTCCGCAATCCCAGTCATTCAGCCAGACTCCACGGGGTCGTCAATCCGTTCGAACTCCCCGGCATTCTGGCGGACGCTCTGTCCAGCATGCCCCTGGCGAATTTGCTTCGATGCAGGAAGAGGACCGCCAGTTCATTTCGAGGAGAAATTAAGCATTATGGGCTTTCCTGTGATGGCTCGTCGACAGCTTCGCGCCATTAATCGATTCTTTTCCCGGAACATGCGCCAACTTCTTCACATATTGACCAACGAATTATCATTACCCGACAATCCAACATTGTCCTATTGAAGACAAACGCGTTTGAGATCCTGCTCTTTAATCCCTAGGGTGGTCTCGCATTTGTTTTCGCAATAGTCAACCGAATATCTCATTCAACTGGATCCTCGTCTCCAAACCAGTGTCCTCCAAGTCAATGGAACCAAAAGAAAGAAAGAAAGAAAGAAAGAAAAAAACAAAACCAAAAAAAAACAAAAAAAAAAAAACAAACCATCATCAACACCTCACAGCAACTTTGACACCAAGGATTGAAACACCGTTGACAACAGGGCTGCGCAATATGCTACGTTCCGGAAACACTCCAGCTTTGCTTGAGACTGTGCAATACTCATCTCCTCATATCTTCCTCTATTGTCTTCAAGTTCTGAAATATTCCTCTATCTCACGACAGAGGGACTCATTCAGAGGCGACAACGACAACACTGGAAGAACTTCCTCAGAATGGCAAAACACTTGCTCTGTTAAGGACTTTGCCTTTGTATTGCACATTTCAACACTTTTTCGATTCGGAATTGGTGTCATTGATTGTGTTCTCTCAGTTAATTGCTGAGTTTTCTGCTTTTTTTCTGGTTTTTCTTTTTTTCTTTTTTCTGCCTTTTTCCCCCTGCTTTTTCTGCGTCTGCTATTTCTTTCTTTCTTTTTTTTTTTCGAAAATTTGGAAAAACCAAAAACATGGAGTTAGGTGAATGAATATGTTCTTTGCAATGAGTGTATAGATGTAGATATGTAGTTAGATGTACATGTAGTTTTATAAGTCTATGCCTAACGGAAAACGGAAAACCCACTTTTCATCTTTTCCAACATCTCCAACATGGACGAAATCCTAGCAGTCCACTCGATGCTGCATTTGATCTTTCATCGAAACAAGAACCAACATCGTCGAACAAAATGGTGGAAATGGCTATCCATCTTGAAACGTGCCACGTTGGATTTCGCCCGATCGGGGGTAAAATCCCACCTGGCCACGCATGTAATCCCAAGATGTTACATGTATGGAAAAGAAAAGAGGCCTTACGAATAACCATGCTAACTCTTTTCTTAGCGCTTTTTCAACGGTCGTTGCCGATAACCAGTTCTCTGCCCTTGGGATCGTGCTTCTGGCTGTGTTGGCGCGACTGTCCAAAATCACCGGAATCAGTCATCAGAAGATGGAACCAGTGACAACCAAGTCCAAGATGACTGTCGCAAAAGAAGATCTTGGGGAACGCATTCGTCGGATTGACAATGCGCCACTCGCCCCGGTCAGAATTTCCCATTCTGATTCCAAGGTCTCCAAGGTCTCCAAAGAGAAGACCACTGGAAAGTCTACAGAGGATGGTGTTTCAAAAACTACATCGAAAAAGAAGAAGAAGAAGAACGCTATCGATGATTTGTTTAGCGGTTTATTTTGAGCCTCATACCCTTTTATGTACGGTGTTTTTGATTTTTTGATTTTTTGATTTATTTTTTTTTGAACAGATTCCAATGGATGTACAGAAATGTATTTCTAAGCTAAAAAAGTTGTTTCATGAATAATGATATCGAGATCGAGACCGAGAGAAAATTGCCTCGCCCAGTAAATTGACAGCAACATGATTAGCAGTAGCCCACGCCATACTGTAAAGATATTTGGGGGAGAAAACGGTCCAGATGAAAAGATGCGTCCGGAGGGCTGTACAGGCGGCCATGACAGAGACCAGAGACATGGAAACATGGAAGGTCAACAGTGCCGAGGGGTTCTGTCCTGCAGGATTCTTCGGCCGGAGACGATGGCTTTCGGAAGCCCACCAGATAGGTCCTGCCCAGTTGCTCGCGAAGGTGAGAACCCCCACTAGTACCACGCTGTAGCTGCCGACACCGTTATATCCACTAGCAAGGTCCACAGAGGAGATTGCATTGGAGCCACCAAACGCGAAGAACGTCATATATTGGAAGATCAAGGTTGTGATTGTCACTTCGATCCCTGTGAGGTTCATGGAAGAGAGAATGCCGGCCTGGATTCGGAAAATCAGGAACAGGGGGACATTAGTGGCACGGGACTGCGTCATTAGGAAAATGTGTAGAGCTTCATGGATTGTATCATGTGGCCCTAAAGATGCTGGTGAGTGATGGCTCCAAGCTCAGAGGCAGTCAAGGACATGTGTGGGCTTACCTCGGGGAACTCTTGATCGTTTCCCAAAGAGCGCTAGTAAAACAATGACAGCAAGTCCATAAAACACAAGTCTGGCATGTAAAACCAACGATAGACTGTAGGGCCATTCCTTCATGATTTGCGAGATGAACGTCCCATCAAGAAGTTCGGGGGGATTCCGAAGTCACAAAGTGCAATTTGAACGTAAAGGCCAACACGGCAGGGGCCAAGGCACCGAACTTCAGTATTCCAGAGATTGGTATACTCATGAGGAGATGACAACCGGCATCCACATACGTGAGGATGAGAAGACCCCAGAAGATTTCTGGGTGGCGTGCAAAGAAGGTGCGAGCAATATCAGGCTCGGCCGCGAATTTCTGTCCAGTCTGATTCCATCGTCGCAAGAGCCTCTGGGTGGTTGCAAGCACAAGAATAATGCATTTGCCAGACCAATATAGTAATGATCCAAAGCGTTTGTGTGAGACCGGTTTTGCAGATGACTCTGACTTAATATGCAGGTAGACAATCCATCCCGAGCAGATCCAATACCAGAACTGTTGCTCTTCTTCCACATAACTACTCGCGAACATCATCATCCCACAGGTGACGATCATGAGCATCAAAAACAAACCGGAAGATCCGTGACGTGTACATTCCTTGTATGTGGCCGGAAGTACAAGTAGGCCTGCAACCCCCGTGATCAACAGGCCCAGAATGAGTCTGGAGACATCGTAGTTACTCGCGGTACGGCTCATGACCTCCTGTGCAATTCGTAAGAAGTGCAATACAGCGGGGCCAGCTGTAGAGTAAGAATCATCTGCTTCATCCCTATCAGAGATAAGTCGCCGGACTCGAGCCCAAGCACATTGAGCTCCCTCAATACCGGATGGGGCTCCCGAAGCACATGATGTACTGATATCGGAATCAAACGTAAATCCAGGGAATGTAGTTGTCAATGTGTTCAGTAGCTGCTCGGCGTTTTGACGTAATATTCGAAGCTTATGAGAACCTATTTCCGAGTCAACTGATTATCTTCCGCTTGGCCGTGACTAGGGACAAAGCACATACCATTATCCCACATTTCTAAAAAGTCTGGGATGAATACGCCAAGACTGTTTAAAGGAATTGGGATACCAAGAAGCCCCGCCAAGGTTGGAGCAATGTCCGCTTGCTCAACCGTCTGGTAGTACTGCATATCGCCTGACGGTTCGACAGGGCTTTCTCTTCGGCCCAAGGCTTCAAACTTGGGTGACATGAAAAGCAACGCGGGATATGTTTCCCCGGCAGAGGACCCGCCGTGGTTTCCGGCCTCGTTCATGCCATGATCTCCGCACAACACGAAAAGTGTGGATTGAAGATGGCCTTGTTGCTGCATTGCGGTATAGATCTCAGTCACCACAGAGTCCATCTCATGCTGTTTCGGTAACATGAAGGGACTGGGAAATTAGAGAGGTTAGAGAGCTTCCAATAATGAGATAAGGAGCTGCATTTTACCTCTTCGGGCCCGCCTTATGTCCTATGTGATCCAGACCCAGGTAATGCATGATCAAAGCAGACCAATCATCCTGGGCAAGCTCGTTAGGAACGTGTCGAGTCACATTATGATCTACTTCCGTGAAGTCCTGCGAGAAGAATCTCAGTTTCAATACTAATACTGCGGATATGCAAACACCTAATGTACAACTGACCGACACGAAGAAGCTTGTAGTTCCATCAGCTCGGTCAAACATCCCCGGAAAGAGCTTGAGCCAGGTGTCGTCTCCATACATCACAAGCCGTCCTCCTATGGCTTTTAATTGAGCTAACCAGGTGTCTTGGTATGCCAGGGTTGATGTGGTATCCGATTCCGCGATGTTGAGAATAACATCCAGAAAAGATGGAACCGAACCAGTTGTGATGGCTTTTAACCGAGGCATTGTAACAGTCGGAGCGCTCGCATAGGCAGTGAATGGCAATGCAGCACCGGACCGGATCAAGCTAGTGTCAAATCAGTTACTTATTTCAAAACAATTCAATAGTAGATTTCGAAAGTGACACTCACCTCTGTGTAAATAAGAAACCCGAGTCATTCGAATATACAAAGTCGCTATATGTAAACACGTTGTTAGTTACCGGTATAGCTTGAATTATTATTCAAATCAATTACCTCCTTAGCGCATCGACCACCATGAAGATAACTTTATCAAAGACGGCAGGTACTGTGACATTCTCGCCTGTTTCATCAAAAGTCGCTAATCCAGGAATCAACGGTTTATAGGGGAAGAATCCTGAAGAGAAGGTGAGTATGCCCACGGGTACCAGCAAATTGGCAATGACTGTCGCCCAGTTGCAGAAGCCCATTTTGCAACTTGACCGTTCAGGACAACTTCTGAGGTTGCAGGTTGCAAGATTGTACCCTCAAACCAACATCGACCTGTCCCCCAAGGGAGGCAGAATCGTGTTTATGCGCATCACCACACCGCCTTCCTATATTATGTAATCCCAGGATGGACATGGATAAATTATTTATATCTTGGTTACTCGTACTATATCAAGAGTTGCATTCAATTATGCAAATAAGAGTACAGGATGCATGAAGAAGGGTCTTACATCAGGTGGAATATGTTGTATGCAGACAATGGGGAATAACATGGCCATTTTCGTTTTAGGTGTTAGAACTTGAACAACATCCCACGTCAGGATACTCCGTACAGACTGGTCGTATAGAGTGTTAGGCGGTCAAGCGAGTTGCGGGCAAGGCAAACCCTGGAGAGGGCTGTCTCGATTTCACGGGTCCCCATATTCTACGTGGAATATTGTACGTCCTATATTTACTTCATTGGACCCTCTAATCAGAGCTAGAAGCTATCATTGCTGGATGTTGGCATAAAAATTAGGTTAATCAATCTAGACTTCGCTTGTTTGTGGTTGAAAATTAGACTCATATTGACTTCCCCCGGGCCACAGGGTTATTCTGTTTCTAGCAAAATCCAAGTAGTACCTCAAGCCTTTAAAGGTAGGTTATATCAGGCACAGACTATGAAACATATGTAAGTGAATCGCAGGTGGAATTGTGGACTCCCAAACGCCTTTTTGTTCTCCGTCACACCATCTCGTCAAATAATCCATTCATTGCCCCTCACTCAGCATCGCCTCACTTCCTCTTGGGACCCTTCTTGGTTGTAGATAGACGCTTTTGGAAAACAATCGAGTTGCGAGGCTTCTGGTTGCGCTTTTGCACGCGTGCCTGCTTCTTCTTGGAGCTCTTAATTGTGTCGATATCCATTTCTGTGTTGGATGGGTAAGCATTCTGTAACTTAAAGGGGGAGAAAATGTGTCATTCAAAAGTTGAATTGCCATAGACTAACCTTCGCTGTCACCAGTCTGGGCCTTGGCTGCTTCGGCTAATAGGGAATATGAGGTCAGTCAGTATCATTAAAGAATGATAGTAGTATACATACCAGCCTCATCTTCACCTAGGTCCATCTTCGATTTCACAGGGGCTTCAGGTCGTGGCTGTGATGCAAGCTCCTGTAGTTTGGCAGCGAGTCTTTCGGTTCTGGCATCGACCAGTGGGCCAAAGACCTTCTTGCGCAGATTGGCTCTGTTGCGCTTAGAAACACTGGCTCGGACACTTTTCGCCATTGTATGAAAGGCAATAGGAGGGAAACAAGGTAAATAAAGTATCAGGATTTCAGGATATTATACGCCAAGAAGGTTAAACCTGATGAACTGATTGATGTCGGGTGGGAAATAAAATGGTCGCTGATAACACAATCAACTTTTTTTTTCCCCGATAGGCTCGTCTTATGTCATCCGGAGACCGTGCCCAGTGGGCACTTCCAAGGTTCACCTCCGAGGGTCGACTTGACCTCACCCTTTTGTGACTGGGGTTTGTGGCCTTTCCCTCACATTTCACTCCAGTCAAGAGATGTATCGATGCAGAGCCCTTATAATTGGTCTGGCTGAATCGGACCCTTGTCTTTCGAGGAACCCTGAACCAAGCCCACCTTGATTACTTTCGCACTTCTCTTATCTGTGAAGCAGCCATGTCGACCAGCCTGTCGTCAGAGGTCGCAACGCTGACAGCCTTTATCAAACCCCTCACAAACCCACAACTGAAAGATTTGTTGAGGTATGAGGGCCTTCAGGTATCCGGCTTGAAGGCAACCCTCCAGTTCCGCATTATTCAACGTTCGTGAATTCTCCCTATCTCTTGTCATGACTTTTTCATTCTATCCTCTACATGCTTTAAAATACTTTCTTCAATCTGTCTCACAGATCATTCTTCCTAAGATCCATACACTGACCAGCGAAATAGGAATCCAATCACTCGCGGAATCTGACCCTGTCAGTTTCGATGCTCTCGCCAGGCGCATCCGTGCTACTGCTTTCCCAAATACTGTGCCATATCAATCACCCACTAGACCACAATACCAGCCATCGCCTGTTTCTCAATCCCCTGCACAGGCTCGATCTGCACCGCTTGGGGTTTCCATGTCACCTCACCCATACTCTGGTCCGAGTGCTCCTCTCATGAAACCCCCTGTGGCTGCTCATAAATCTCCAGGTCCTTTGATTTTCAAAGAAAGTCCATTTTACACAATCCTTGAGCCGTTGACCCCAATCGTGGAGTGTAAAGGTATGTTACTATATATATTTGGAGCTTGTTGATCTATATCTAATTTTATCCAGTTCGCGAACAAACACGGGACAGTGTTGAACTGAAGGTCATGTTATCCCAGCAAGTTGCCTATAAGCTGCAAACCGACTCAAATCTTCGAGTGATGGTTTATTGCGCCGGTGATTCAGGCCTCACACAATACACCAAGTCGGACGTCGCATTCCCACACCAGGTGGAACTTAAAGTAAATCTCGATGAAGTCAAAGCCAATCTCAGAGGTCTGAAAAATAGACCGGGGACTACACAGCCTGCAGATGTAACCAACTGGATTCGCAAAAAGCCCAACTACCCAAACAATATCGTCATGACTTATGCATTGACACAAAAGGTTAAGCTCGTTCCGTTCCTGTTCGGTAGAGCATCTGTTAGGCCAATTGACTAACTCCGTCTTACACAGAAATTCTTCGCGCTTGCCAACCTCGTGAAGCAGCATCCGACTGATGATCTTGTCTCGCAATTGAAGACACGGAAACTCATCTCGAAGGAACAAGTCTTACGTGAAAGTAAGAACCTCTCCTGTTCCCTTGGGTTGAATTATGCTAAACTCAGATCTGCAGTGCAAAACCGCGCAAATGACTCGGACATTGTCGCGACATCAAGCGTCATGTCACTTAAATGCCCTCTATCTACCCTGCGCATCCAGGTGCCTTGCCGCTCTATCGTTTGCACACACAACCAATGCTTCGATGCATCTTCATTTCTTGAATTACAAAAGCAAGCTCCAACTTGGACCTGCCCTGTGTGTTCCAAAGCGACTAGCTTCGAATCTCTCCAAGTCGACCAGTAAGTCCTCATCCCTTGACAGATCTGTTTCTCTTCCTAACAGATCGTATAGGTACGTTGATGACATTCTACAGTCAACGTCACCTGACATTGACCAAGTCACCGTTGAACCCGACGGCGTATGGTCAAGCCGCACTGATTCCGACGCGACAAAATTGGGAGGGATGACTCCCGCATCTGATGACGACGACGACTTGATTGAGATCAGCGAACCTGGGATGCCCGTTGTCAAACAGGAACCGGGACCCACGAATATCGCCCTGGAGCGAACACCTGCGCAGTCACAGTCACGAGAGGCATCAACCCCATCCTCTGCGATGCGCATGTCCAGCAAAAAGCGACCCATTGCTCAGGTCATCGACCTTACTGAGAGCGGTGATGAAGATGAAGAGTCCCCCGTTCCACCCCCTAAAAGGCCAGTTTCAAGTCTGCCATCCCGGGCTTTTTCTCGTCAGGACTACCATATCCCACCTGCCAGCAGCCCTTTGAATGGCGGGTCGTACCCACCGTGAATTTAGATTCTTAGTTTAGTTAAGCTTGCAAGCGACCGAACAACATTGGTCGTTTCTCTTTCTGATGCATGTTTCCATGGAGTTTCTGGGCCGGGGGAGTCTTCAAGATATCACAAGTGGCTATGTATCTAAGAGGGATTGTATCATTCTAGTTTTGACCAGCCAATTAAACCTGGAAATATATTGACTATTACTCTTTTATTTTATTGTTTTTAAAAGAAAACACAAAACATATCTATATTTTCCTGTATAGATCAAAAAGGCCAGTATCAGGTGGATTCCGGCTTTGGGGGTTCAAAGACACCCCGACTCCCCGACTGCCCCAACTTCCTCCAACCCCCTCATTTTCGAGCTCTTCCCATCAACACGCCTTTATTCCATACGTCAACCGGATCCCTTGCTCATTCGCCTCTTGGATCAGTTCGCCTTTCGCCGTTCATAATGTCATTCGATTCAACTTCCCCTTTAAATACCGACCCAAATGCCCGCGTCTTCAGCTCCTCATGCTTCGACTTCCTACTCATAGAATTGGTGCCAATGGCTGAGCGTATGGCAAAGGAACTTGCAACCGAGGGAAAGGAAACTGAAGATGAAGAAGTTAGAGAGACGACATTCTTTCGTCTAGAGTCTCTGGGTTATCGTGTTGGGCAAGGCCTTGCGGAGCGGTAAACATGCTTTTTCTCTTGCAGTCCTAGGGCGCGCTAACCTGTATCAATCTCTATAGCTTCGCCCGAGACCGTCCTAGGTTTACCGATAACCTCGACGTGATCAAGTTTCTCTGCAAGGATCTGTGGACGGTCCTATTCAAGAAACAGGTGGATAATTTGAAAACGAACCATCGGGTATGTGCAAGACAGAAATAATGTCGGAGAGATGCGAGACAGCTACACTTGCACAAAGATTCGAAACTAATGGCAACAATAAAATAGGGAGTCTATGTTTTGACCGATAGCGCGTTCCGGCCATTTGGTAGGATGAGCATGGCGGTTCGGAGTGAAGCAATATCCATGGCGCAGGCAGTAAGCAACCCCTTTCCAATCAATGAGGATATCATGGGCTTATAGATTGACCTAGTACCTCTGGTTTCCCTGTGGTATCATCCGGGGCGCGTTAGCGAACTTGGGTATCAACACGACGGTGCAGGCTGAGACCTCCGATCTACCAGGTGCAACTTTCCAGATCAAAACTCTCCAGCCTCGGCCTTGAGCAGTAAAGTGGTTGTGCCTGGGCCTGGGTTATCCCTTTCACTCCAATTTACGCCTACTCCATGACTTATGACAGTTCCATCTTGCAAAGACCTTGTGGTTCCTTCGGTTTACTACAAGGATTGATTCCAAGTCTCTTGCTCAAGATACCCAAAACGCGCAAATATGAACGGTGAAAGCTGTACTTGTTTCCATTTGAAGGTCGGTTAACTATATTTGTGTGCCAAACCTACCCATCTGATTTCGGACCGTACACACCCCGTGTCTGCTCATTGTTCATAAACTCGTGGTCTCACATTTAAAGCCTATCTTTCCGGGAGAAGATTGATTAGCAACGCTCTGCTATTTTCCGGTGTCATCGCAGCCGTGGAGAACCCAGGGAGAAATCTACTGACACAAAGAGACCTACCCGATATACATGGTGCACAACGGACAGGGGGAAAAGGGGGGCCTTACTTTGGTGGGGAGTTCTTGGCGAACTCAACGCCCTTCTCGATGTTGCCCTGGAGTCCCTTGATGCAAGCCTCGAGGAGCTTCTTCTCCTGCTCGGTCACACCATCAAGGATGTTGATAGCCTTCTCAGCACCGTTGAGCTGGATCGAGCATTGTCAGTTAGTTGCCTTAACACACTGGAAAATTGAAGACGTACACCGAGTTCCACGGGAGTGGAGAAGAAGTCAAGTCCGGTGGCCTTGGCAATCTCATCACCGCCAGCAACACCGGGCAGGTAGACGAAAGTAGGCTCAACAATGCCCTTCTCGCCCTTGGAAGCCTTGATGACAGCCTCAGCGAATCTAGTATTTGTCAATTCACCATGGTAGCTCCGAATTAGCGGGTGAAACCTACCTGAAACCGGCGAAGGCCATAGACAGAGTAGCGGAACCAGCACCGTCCTTGGCCTTGACGACCTCGTCACCTCCGAATTGGACACCTGTGAAATATCAGCAAATGCCTTTCACAGAAAGAACGGTCCACATACGGTTGACAAGAGCATCGTAACGGTCAGCGGGGATCTGGAAGCTGGGGGAAACCTTGCTGAACAGAGGAACAATGGTCTCGCCAGAGTGGCCACCAATAACGGGGACGGTGGCATCAGCGGCGTTCTTCACGCCGGAGAACTCCTGGGTGAAAGTCTCGGCACGAACAACGTCCAGGGTGGTCACACCGAACAGACGCTTGGGGTCGAAGACACCGGCAGCCTTGAGGACCTCGGCGGCGATGGGGACGGTGGAGTTCACAGGGTTGGAGATAACGAGGATGAAAGCCTTGGGGGCAAACTCGGCGATGCTCTCGACGAGACCCTTCACGATTCCGGCATTAACCTTGAAAAGGTCGTCACGGGTCATACCAGGCTTGCCTAGATGGTACGATAGACGTTAGCAAAAAAACACCAACCACCCCGATTTGCGGATCTACTGACGGGGAATGCCGGCGGGGATGACAACAACGTCAGCACCGGTTAGAGCAAGCTTTAGTCCATCATCCTTGGGGAGGTAACCAGTGATTTTCTAGTTCCATTTGTTAACAGGCTTGTTCACGAGGCTTCGGGAGTGTACGTACGGCGACCGAGGAGATGTGAGAGAGATCTGCAGCCACACCGGGAGTGTTGACAACATCATAGAGAGCAAGGTCATCAACGAGAGGGCAAGCCTTCAGCAAGAGGGAGAGAGGCTAGAGGATCGATTAGCTGAGGCTCATAAGAACCCTTTTGGGGAAAGGAGGGCCATACCTGGCCAATGCCACCAGCAGCTCCGAGAACAACTAATAACGAATGAGCAAATGATAGACAAAACAGCCAAATAACATACCAGCCTTGACCATGATGAATGTGTGTGTATATGTGTGTGTTTGTGTGTGTGTAGAGAGAGAAAGAAAATAGGAGAGAAATGAGGAGAGGAAGCTTGAGGGAGGAGGGGACCGGTCAATTTATAAGAGGGGCAAGTGTCCCCCAGTGAGAGGGGCAACCCCGGAATACGGAGTTCCAAATTGTTGATGGGATTTCATGTGAAGTGACGATGTTTACCTCAATTTATATCTATTTACAAAGTACATATGTATTCATTTTTGATTTAATTTGATTATACGTTTATGTATACTATGCTTACTATTACTATATTTACTATATTTACTATCTTCTACTATTATATCTGTTAAATAAGATCTATCTCATCCATGTATAAGGAATTACCTAGGTACCAAGCTCTGGACCTTTCTCCAGACTTTCCGGCAATTCTCGTCCCTTAAACAATGGACTTGTTCCACACTTCCCCGACCGGGTTGTCATATCGGGAAAAGGCGGACTATTATACTACCCTAGGTATATATAAACCTATATTCTCTTATACCGGACATTGTGGCTCGGGCCGACCAGTCGGTTGTGAATCAAATTTTACTGTCTTCTTGGTTGATTTCTTTTCCGAATCGTTCTGATTTTCCTTTTTTTTCGGGGAAATCTGTTTTCTCTTTTAGAAGGTCTCAGATAGGACACTGGTTTTTCTTTTCTGTCCTCGAAGACTGCTAGATTACATGGTTCATGGTTTCCAAGTCCCAGCATAGCGTTTTACATACGCCTATCAAGTCTCCTCCCCCAAATCCCCGATCCTTCATGATCAACAATTCAGACTCATCTCAAGACGAATTTACTCAGACTCTTCGGCCTTGCGGGCCTTGGCGCCACGGGGCTTCTGGGCAGGAGTATCCTTCTTCGGAAGCTGGGAGCGGCGGACGGCGCTGACACGGGCGACGGCCTCCTCACGGAGATCAGCACGGTAGTTGTTCTTGGCGGTCTTGTCGGCAACACCCTTGTAGATCCTGAGAGAGCACATAATGATCAGCACTGGGTCGCGAAGGCGAACTACACCATGTGTCTCGAAGAATAAGAAATCGGGTCCCGCTTACTTGCGGTTGGAGGTGCTGGGACCGTAAGTCACAGTGACCAAGTTCTGAGCGGGCTGCTGGGGGTTGCTGGGCTTCTTGGTGGTCACGGCGACACCGTTCTCAGTAGCCTGGACACCGACAGCCTGGAAGGTAGAATAGTTAGCGCCAAATGATAAGAAAAGAAAACATCAGCAGTGTAGAGCATAATTACCTTGTTGTTGGCATAACCGGCATACTATAATGCGCCAAAAGAGACCTTCGTTAGCCATGCTTTCCCGGAGAGGATCACCCATTCCGTCTAATCCCCGAGGCCCGTACCTTGTAGGAGTGCTTGTTCAGCAGGTTCAGGGGGTCCCGGGAGAACTGGAAGCCACCGCCGGAGTTGCGGTTAACCAGGAAGGCGTTCTGGTTGCCTATTCCAAATATTGATGAGCTAGAGTTCGATTTCCAGAAGCTTTGATATGAAAGGTCGAAAAGGAAAAACGCGGAGGGTCGGACGTACGGGTGATCTGCCAGACCAGATCGTTGGAGATGTTTGAGGCCATTGTGATGAGAGGGGATGTTGAGTTGGAGAATTGAAAGATCGAAATCGCTATCAAAACCGTCTTCACGTCGATCAAATTGTGTGTGTCTCAAATGCCAAGACCTCGGATTGGACGGGGTCTCGCTAAGGCCGCTACTTTAGGAATAGTCTCACTGCCTTGATGCCTTAATGCCTCAATATCAATATTATTTGTAACTAACCTAACTTGGTTAGTACGTTATGCCTGGATGCCGTGTTGCCTGTTAAATAAGGCAGCACTGACAGCTTCCGGCGACCTCCAGGCTGCCAATAATATGAACGCGATGCTGACGTTGCCTCTCCTTTCTAGTGACAACCACTCTAAGTCTTCCTATGCCTTCTTCATCGACAGCTTACTGTCTGGCGGGGCACACCATCTCTTAGTTCTTCTTCGGCAAAATACTTTCAAGAACACCAACCCTCTTCCTCCGCAATATTGCAAAGCTCTATACTACACTACTACTACACGCCGGAATCTTGACCGGTATCACTCATCATCATGACCTACATTCTCTTCTATTTCCTACTCTTTTCAGTTATCATCGGTGGAACAGGTAGGTCGAGTATATTTCCAACTCTAAAGGAAACAAAGCAATCCATACTGGATTTGGTTCTAATTTCACTATAGCGTTATACCTCACTCGGTCACGGTGGATGCCATTAGTCCAAGTACCTGATTATCTCTATCACCGCCTTCCCTCAAGTTTTACCGCCGATCTCGAGGCTGGCCTGAGCTCGTCACAATTCGACATTACTGCCAATCTTGCAGACGGGGATTCGAGGGCTGGCTTGGATCAACGAGCAAAGACCGAAGTGATCAAGATTATGAAGAGTCGAAAGGTCAATTTTGATGAAGCACGGCGGATCTTTACAGAGCAACGATTTGCAAAGAATGACATCGGACCTGACGGCCGGCCAAGGGACCCAAAATTCGTCTCATTTTCGTGATTCGCCTACAACCACATCAACTGTCCTAGCGTTTCCCCCTTTCTTTTTTTTGGGCCATTGCCAAACAGCATCTCACTAACAGAATCCGTACAAATAGAGGTTACGGCGTTCGCCCAGGAATATCTCGTTTATGCTGTTAGAGCGCTTGAAGTACTACGATTTACCGCTTTGTCCGGTGGATTTCTTCTATCTGTGCAAGATCCTTTGGCAATTGAACCCTATTAAGTTGAATTTTATCAAAATACAAGTAGTTTTTCTGGTCTAGTCCGTGTCCAATAGAGACTTAATATTACATATGACCATCCAACGCTGCCAATAGCCCAGACAGCGCCAAGGCACAGTTAGATCCAACCCCCAATAAACATGTTCGAGGTGGCCAAGCAAGAGAACATGAAACACATGGACCAACGCTTTGGTCCTTGGGTCATCAAATCATTTAAAAAAGGACCTCCCACCTCCCATGACAAGTCCATAGCTTTGGGGGGGAGGGGCTCTCAGGGCTGAAGGCCACTAGGAATCACCGACTGCCTCCATATCCGGGCTGTTGGAAGCCCGGTGGCAATGAAGGGGGCCCACCTGGAGGTCCAAATCCAGGCGGCCCAAACCCAGGGGGAGGTGCAGCCTGTGGGACGAAGGGCGGTTGGCCTGCACCATTGAATCCAGGCGGTAAAAAGGTCTGTGGGCCGCCGTAGCCAGCTTGGGAAGGCGGAGGTCGAGCTGGGAGCCCCGGAGGTGGGGTATTGAGTGAAGGGGCCGGAGGTGGGACATGTCGGTTTGGAGGGGGAACGGTCTGGTAAGGCATTGGAGGAGGCGCACTCTGGTAGGGCAAAGCTGGAGGCATAGCCGGGGTCATGGCTGGGGTCACACCCCGATTCATACCTACATCTGGTGTTTGTGACGGGGCTGTGCTCAAGGGTCGAGAGATGTCGCCATTCGACATGGCCGGCGTTGATGATACGCCCGGGCCAGTGCCAGGGAACTGCGGAGCTTGCTGAGTGGGTGGCTGTACATTATGCTTGCGAGCCTGGGCTGCCAGCATTCGTTCTGCTTCATCACCATGTCTCTCGCCTTTCCCATCCTTCTTGTATGCATACTGTACAGAAACCTGTTTGTTCATCAGGTACTGGCCATTCATGTTGGCGATAGCCGCATCCGAGGATTCGAAATCGGCAAAAGAAACAAATCCATATCCCTTAGAGAGATTGTTGTCATCACGGGCAATCTGTAATGATGACAAAAAAAAAATGCTGTTAGCAGTGTCCATCTTGCTATATCCGGGGGATATCTCACTTTAGGCGGATTGACAAGATTGCCAAACCGGCTGAATGTATCAAAGAGAACCTGCTCGGCAACCATAGGATCAAGGTTACCCACAAACAGCTCGGCGCCAATTTCCACGGTTTTTTGCTTATCAGCCGATGCCTTGTTAACACGAATAGGCTTGCCATGGAGACGGATTCCGTTCATGATCTTCGATGCATATTCGGCATCTTCCTCGCTGATGAACTCAACAAATCCATACCCCTGGTGTAACTGCGTGACCCGGTCTTTGGGCAGATGGACGTTAACGATGCGCCCAGCCTGCAACATCAATTCCCATACCAGGCTGTCTGAGACCCGTTCATCAAGGTTTCCGATGTACACGGTTGCCTCTTTATCTTGTTCCCTGGGTTGAATTAGCATGGGGTCTTGTTGTGGGGAGAGAGGGCCTTACCAATGCCTTGCGTTAGACATGGTGAATTAATCGGAGGGGAAAAGCTCCCACGAAAGGAAAAGGACTCAAGGATGCAAGTTCAATCTGTGAAAGTCCTAGTAAAACTTGGACCAACAAGGTAGACTAATTAGCTAATTTGAGTGGAAGTGGAGAGATAATGAGGTGTGCAAGTGTTAGAGTGAAGGAAAGCCGGAGCTGAGGGATGATCAGTGACACCTTTTCCGAAAACTTTTGATTTCCGCAAATCCTCCCTGTTTCCACTTCAATCAACCACACATCTCCCATTCTATTCACTTGAATCCGACCCTTGAGCCAATACCAAATTTATTTCTTTTTTTCATCTTATTTGAAACCCCCAACTTCACTATCATAAATTCACAATGGTTCAATTCTCCGAGGAGACCAAGGTTAGTTGCAAACCCGACCCTCCTTGAGACCGGGATTCTAACTCTCTCTTTCTAATCTATTTAGGAGCGCGTCTCGAAAGTCATTGATATCTCCCGGGTTGCAATTCACTAGTGAGCCTCATAACACCTCTGTGTCATCCTCCGAGCTGACCGGCGATAACCATCTAGCGGATACTTGCCTCTGATTGTCTATCTGGGTATGTCACGATATACTGCTTTGGTATTTTCAACACAATAAGCTAACAAAAGAAAAACAGGCTACACCTATAGCGAGCCCAAGCCGACGTTGTTCAGGTACGCTCCAGGTCCTTAGATTCCAGCTGTTATGACTAACTCGATACCTAGATTGTTCTCGCCTCTTGCGTAAACGACGCGTTGACTGGAGGAAATGATATAGGACATGTGGATGGGATGGATATGGCCCAGCCTCTCGATTATTCCCTCTGCGAGGGATAATGGGTTTGAATATCCGGGTATCGGTTTTTTTAAAGCTTGTGAAAGCTGGATGATTTTTGTATTTTTAAGTCTTTGGCCCAATATTTGTCCACTTTGGTACGGAAATGCTGTAGCCCTGTGGTAATTTAGAGTGAACAACTGAGCTGTGTATAAATAAATAAAAAAGAAAACTAAGAAGATTGGTATGTTGTGGTGTGCACATATGTTATTCTACTCTTGGACTACTCGGTCACATGTTCTGATGTTCTTGGAATATTCTCCTCGTCATCGCATTTTTATCTTCTTCTCTGCCATCGTTCCCCATATACTCTCCCCCTTTGTCTCTACCTCTCTGTGTATTGAACCTTCTTTTTTCATCTAAGGCAGGTTCATGACTAGTCAATATGGCTTCTCGTCGTCCTTTGTGGAGACCGTAGCAGGATTCACAGCGGGAGTTGTGTCAACTCTGACGCTACATCCTCTTGACATGGTCAAAACAAGGCTACAAGGCAAGCTTTGTTATTTTGTTGACTCTCCTTGTGGTATAGAGTAACTAACTCCAGTTTGGTATATGTAGTCGATCGATCATCTTCCCGACTTGGGGGTTCACTGCGAATCATTCGCAAAATCTTCTATCACGAGGGTGGCTGTGCTGCTTTTTACCGGGGACTTACACCCAATCTTATCGGAAATTCCACAAGCTGGGGTTTGTACTTTCTATGCTACAGCAGCTTGAAGGATAGTATTCGAATCTATCATAAGGAGAGGGAGCAGATTCTCACGTCGTCTGATTATCTTCTCGCATCTGGCAGTGCAGGTACGCATATATCATGTCCAATTCAACGTTGTTCCTCCGTTCCTCATTTAACCTGTGGATTTCCTTAGGCGTCGTTACGTCGGTCCTCACCAATCCAATCTGGGTGGTCAAAACTCGCATGTTGTCAACGGGTTCCCATGCTCCGGGGGCATATGCTTCATTTACATCTGGAGCAAAACAAATATACCAGGTGGAAGGAATACCCGGCTTTTACCGAGGTCTCATACCAGCCCTATTTGGTGTCAGCCATGGTGCCCTTCAGTTTATGGCATACGAGCAATTGAAACTTTTCAGATTACGGTCGATGAATACCATGGGCTCAACCGAGAGCAGCCATTTGGGCGCCGAACGGGTGCTGGGTAATGTTGATTTTTTCGCCATCTCCGGTCTATCAAAAGTCTTCGCTGGCGGTGTGACGTATCCTTACCAAGTAATTAGGTCCCGGTTGCAAACCTATGAGGCCCATCTAATCTACCGTGGGGCCATTGATGTCTTTTCCCAGGTATGGGCACAAGAAGGGATCGCAGGGTTCTATAAAGGTCTTGGTCCAAATCTGTTCCGAGTGCTTCCAAGCACGTGGGTGACCTTCCTGGTATACGAGAATACCAAAGTCTACCTATCCCGGCTAGCGCAAAATCCATGGGATACTTCCTACTAATTCCTGCTCATGCTTATAGCAATTTGATCTTACTAGACACCACCTGCCTTGTTAATTTTACAGCAACGTCTGTACTTTCATCAATTTACATTATACCCTGTCAATGTGCATATGGAACGCACCACATGATAAAATCCTAATTTAGCTAGATGTGTTCCTCGCTCTGCTCCCCCCTCCTTTGTGATGATCTGTGGGAATAAAGTAACTAAGAAGGTGCAGTTTGTCATGTCAATTTATTGAATTAGAAAAGCCATAAGGAGAAAAACTTAATTAATCGTAAGGATTGACAGCCTTACATATATTAAACAAGCCCCCAAAGCGCGGCCCCGCAGTTATTCAATTGCTTATACGAAGACATTCACTAGCTATTAATACTGTTGGGGTCACGTGACCTCTACTCCTCCACACATTAGCTAGCCTCACCTGTAGATAGTTTCTCTTTTCTTCACGCATCTATCTATTTTCCAGATTGTCCTATTTCTTCATAGTAGCACATCTCTTAGGTTATGAGCGCCTATCTCCGAGGCTATTGTTTCACAGCAGACCTCGAATCCCCATTTTCCCCGGCGTTATACGTCCGCTAAGCCCCGAGATCCGCAGATCTGCAGGTATTAACCACACATATTGCAGAGTTTTCTAGCTCAGCCAATCAGAACTCTCTATCACTTTTATATCTAGGTCTTATTAAAAGAGACTATTTTATATCACTTTTTCTATATCGACCTTAACTGTTAAAAAAGGCCTAGACTGCGGCACGATCCGCAATATCCGCGGATATCCACAATCTATATCCGTAAAGTGCGGATTTGGATTTTTTTTTAATATCTAAGATCTGTAGCCTTATAGATTTAGATATAGACATTATATCTATTAGATATTTATAGATATCTAATAGATATTAAATAATATAAATATATCTAGACTTATAACCTTAAGATATATATATTAATTTTATATTTTCTTCTATATTTTTTATATAATAGTATATTATATTAAATTATTAAAATCTAGATCTTCCTAGGGTTATATAAATTTAAATCTTTTTATTTATTTATATATACTATTTATAGATTTAATTAGAAGCTATCTAATAGCCTTAGCTATTTTCGAATCCGCTCTAAATAGCCTAATATAGTTATATTAACTAGTATCTCTAAAAGTTTATTATCCCTTTTACTAGCTTTATATAGTTATTTTTAAAGTTATTTTCTTTTTATCTATCTATATTATTTAATACTATTATTATTTAAATTATTATTACCGCTTTTAGTATACTAAATAGTTTTAAGTCTAATATTTTAATACTTTTTTTTATTATTACTAATAGGCTTTAAACTTTAAACTATAATAATAATCTTTAGATTTAATCTAATAAAGTAGTTTTATTTTAAAATAGGTGCTTTTTAATAATCTTTAGCTTTTTTTATTAGAAATTAAAATTAGTAATAAATTTATATAATATTAAATTATAGATTATATATAGCTTTAATTAACTATAATAGTAATAATAGAGATTATAAATATAGTTAAATAGTTATTTAATATTAGTATTATTAGTAGAGATAGATAGAATATCTTTTAATTAGGGCTAGGGAGCTCTTTTTATATTCTTTTTAGAAAAGTTAATATTTCTATTATTTAATTCTATAAATAAAATATTATATAATCTTATTATTATCTAGTTTTATAAGCTTTTCTAATAACTAGTTCTAAAATATATAAATAGAATTAAAATTATTAAAATTATTTTTATTAATAGCTATTTTAGAAGTCTCTAATATTATTAGATTATTAATATTATAAATTAATATCTTCTTATATTAAGTAAACTTTTAATTTAGAACCTTTTAATAATAATTAATATAATTAATATCGCCCTATTAATTAATTAAGGAAAAGTACTAGAGCTTTTTTAATAGAAAGAAGATTATTATTAGAGTATAGATATTATTATAAGACTTATAGTATTTAAAGAGGTTTTTTTACTATTTATTTTACTATTTAAAGTATTTATAATATCTATTTCTTTTAGATTATATCTTTATTTTTAAATTTTACTTTAGCTATATTAAGATAGGAAAAAAGCTTATTATAGATACTAATCGTGGCAAGCCCACCAACACTAGCACCCAGTGTTGGTGGGCCCCAGTCGATGACCGATTCCCACTCGATAACTGATTTTCACAATTAAGTATCTTTTGTATGGCAACTCTATACAAAAGGTACCTAAAACACCGTATAAGAATAATATTAATTTTCTCACTAGTCAAGAAGCCTAGGGGCTATGAAATTATATATATATTGTATCTAGTATCCTAATATTACACTATCAACCTTAGTAGCAAATCTTAAGTGCGTAAAGTAAGAGAACAGTTAAACACTTTTATACGATATTTTACGTGGATTTTTCAGAAAAGCTCTTTATGTCTTCTATATTGTATATTCAGAATTAATTTTAGTAGGAGATCGATTAAACTAGACTTATATTACAATTCTACGTTTTCATCTTCCCTTTAGTTAGTTTGGTGGTTGAGAGAATTGATATTATACTAATATTATATTTTAGGTACCTTTTATATAGAGTTGCCATACAAAATATACTTAATTGTGAGAATCTGTCATCGACCGGGAATCGGTTATCGACTGGGGCTCACCAACACGGGTAGGTGTTGGCGAAGGCGGTGTCACGATTATAGATATTATATATAATAATATCTTTTATCTTTAATAGTATTATTATAAAATTAAAAAAAGGCTTTCTTAGAAGAAAAAGATATTTAATTCAATACTACTCTTTTTAATTAATTAAGCTTAAAAATGAAGATATTAATAATTAGTATAATATTAATTATAGAATAGCTAGAGCTTTTTAGTCTAGTTAAATATTAAAAATATTAAATTCTATTGTATCCGAATATCTTAGATTAGGTTTAATATAAACTCTAGCTAAAAGGCTATAAATATTTCATAATATTATAAGTTTATATTAATAAAGATTATTAGTCTTTAGATCTTCTATACTTTTATTAGTCTAGGTATTATAAAGATTTTAAAATAGGAAATATATATTTTTTTAATATATTTATAATCTAAATACTATATATATTTATTTTTTTAAAAAAATATGTTTTTTTCTTTAGACTACTTTAATTTAATCTTTTTATTATTTAATACCATTTTAAACTTCTAAAAAAATTTAAATTAAACTTAGCTAGATTGTATATATAATATATAGGATATAGAAGATTAAAAGATCTAATAAATATTAAAATTTAAGTAGTCTTAAATACTCTATATTAAAATATTATTATTAGTTATATTATTTATAGTTATTCTAAGAGGTTATAGGGGAAATAGGAAGGAAAGGTAGTTCTTAAGATAAAAACGATAAAGTAAAAGATGTAAAACAGGAAGAAGTATAAATTAATATATTTAGATAGAAAAAACTATAAAGGAT